ATGTTACAGTTTTCCACTGTTAATTTGGATATCCGATTGACTGGGAGCATTCAGTCGACTGTCCTCTCTGTTATACGGTGTGTAGCGTGTACTATGCCATACTGCCCGGTCACCGGGTCACTTGTCCACAATCGACCAAATCATCATATCATATTGATACATTGATATACATTGAACGTAATTATAATCAATAATGCCCATTGCTAGGGATATTTTGAGGAATTTAATGGGTGAAAATAGATGTTGTAGTACAATAAATAGAGATAAAGGTGGACAGTACTAGTGGGGTGCAGACAATTCGTTAAATTAAATTCTCAGTTCAAAGTTTTAAAATTTCATATTTCGAATGGCATAGAATGGAGACAAATGGCATAAAATTCATCAAATGGCATAGAAATTTCATGGCATAAATGGAAATTTTGTTTGGCCAATTCTCCATTATGCCATTTATGCCATTGGTACCCCCCCGACCAGTTCAAGGTTTAATTCCAATGTCCATGACCCCTCATCTTACTCTCAGAAGCAGTTAAAGAGGGGTAAGCAGCTGTAGAGGGTTTTAGATTAGTATCTTCCGGCAGTATGCTGTTTGATCATTTCCACCTCCGCTTGACCAGATTGATCTTCTGTCGGCAGAGTTAATCTGGTTCCAAGGACTCCCTGCACTTATCATGAAATGGCCATCACCCCGGTCTTGGGGTTGCTTCCAGTTTTCTCCTTCAATAAAGTCAGGTTTTTCCCAGCCACTCTCCTCCACTCCAGCACATCTCCAGGAATTGTCCGAGACCATGAAATCGTTTCCTTCCGCATCCTTCATGCCTGCTACGATACCATAGCCACCACCACCATTGTAACATTTAACTGCTATGACCCGGGTGGGTGATGGAACACTGAGTGACGCTAGTGCCTCATAGTTTGTGTCTGTGTACTTCTGAACTCCATCTACATAAACTGTTGTATGATCGTCACAGAATACCTTTAACGAGTATTCGCAAGGCTGATCGTTGCATTCTTGTGTCTCCTCAGCATCTCCTACACAGTTAGATCCACCGTTAGCAGGGGCTGGGTCGGAGCAGCTTCTCGTTCTCTTCTGGGATCCTCCTCCGCAAGCAGCCGAGCAGTCTGACCAATCCCCGAAATCACTCCACTTCCCATCGATTATGCAAGGCTGATCGTTGCATTCTTGTGTCTCCTCAGCATCTCCTACACAGTTAGATCCACCGTTAGCAGGGGCTGGGTCGGAGCAGCTTCTCGTTCTCTTCTGGGATCCTCCTCCGCAAGCAGCCGAGCAGTCTGACCAATCCCCGAAATCACTCCACTTCCCATCGATTATGCAAGGCTGGTCGTTGCATTCTTGTTTCTCCTCAGCATCTCCTACACAGTTAGATCCACCGTTAGCAGGGGCTGGGTCGGAGCAGCTTCTCCTTCTCTTCTGGGATCCTCCTCCGCAAGCAGCCGAGCAGTCTGACCAATCCCCGAAATCACTCCACTTCCCATCGATTATGCAAGGCTGGTCGTTGCATTCTTGTGTCTCCTCAGCATCTCCTACACAGTTAGATCCACCGTTAGCAGGGGCTGGGTCGGAGCAGCTTCTCCTTCTCTTCTGGGATCCTCCTCCGCAAGCAGCCGAGCAGTCTGACCAATCCCCGAAATCACTCCAGTTTCCATCAGTCGTGCAAGTGTGGCCACACTTTTTCAGGACTTGTTCAAGTTTACCGCATTGCCTCGAATCCTTTTTCTTTAACTTACCATCGCTGGATTCACAGCCCAGAGACGACTGGAAACCTTTCTGTAAGCACTTCTTGTTGTACTGCTTGATTTTCTCGTTCAGCTTCTTGTTCTTCAATGGACACTCGTACGAAGTAACGATTAACATTAAAAGTGTTAGCAAAACTACAGATGCGCAGAAATGTTTCATTGCTCGAGAGGATTAAGTTGATAGGAGTAAACAAATTTGAATCGCCAAGTCGAAGTAATTTATGACTAAGTAAACTGTGAGTTTTCTTTCTAGGCGGGGATTCAGCCGTTTTTGAGTCGGTACGTAACAGCTGCATAACAATAGTTCTCACTCGTTTTGCCCTGAATGTCTCAATCCTTTAGATTCAAATCTCAACTACATTGTTCAATTATCTAGAAGTTTCATTATCGTCGGTCTTGCACCGAGGGCTAAATTTGACGACCTAACCAATTGTTTAATCTTCCAGCTCTCAAACTTTTAAGTTTAGACTGTCCCTCATTATTACATCGGAACCAATATAATGGATATATTTCTTTGGTGCACAATTATAGTAGTGGTATGTCAACAAACTCCACCCCCAGTATAATAGTACTCCGTGCATATTAGTCATGATGCGATGAGGGAAAGTCTTGACTGAAAACACAAAAACACAAAGACTTATTAAGAGACAACCGGTGCCAAACCTTGAAATTGTTGTTTTCTTGAAAACTGATAAAACTTTGAAGGAGAGCCAAGTTTGAGCTAGAATATGAAACAATTGCACTGCCACACGTGAAATGTTTATCTGATGAGGGCGGTAGTAAACTGACCACAGCTATATAATTAAACCATATCATTAACAATAGGGGGGCCGAAATCTTATTCTAACTAGCTAACCCAACTATAACCGTCCAAAAGCAGTCGAATAATTAATAGGCAGATCCAATTACGGTGAATATGGTAACCCTAGTAACCCTAGTAACCAGACTATCATAGTGTTACTAGTAACCCTAGTAACCACAATATCACGGTGAATATGGTATCTCTAACTAGCCTCAAAATCTCCCAAAATTAGGTGGGTCATTGGTTCTTTATCTAAAATTGTGCAAGAATTTTAGATTTGTGCGGAAAATTGTGGAAAACGATTGTTAGAGTGAATGTGTGCGGTAAACAGCTAAAAGTTCGTTGTGTGCGGCCAACGGCAACAGATTTAGCTGCACTTAAATACTGGTTTTGATGTTAAACTATAGTACGTGAATCTCAATTTGAGTTATCTCAATAACACTATGATATAGTGTGGTTACTAGGGTTACTAGGGTTACTAGTAACACTATGATATAGTGTGGTTACTAGGGTTACTAGGGTTACTAGGGTTACTAGTAACACTATGATATAGCCTGGTTACTAGGGTTACTAGTACAACACTATGATATAGCCTGGTTACTAGGGTTACTAGTAACACTATGATATAGCCTGGTTACTAGGGTTACTAGTAACACTATGATATAATCAGGTTATGTATTAAGCTGTTAAAAAATTAAGCTAAATTCTAATATACTTCTGATGATTGATATCTCATGTTAGAACCAATAATGTAATAAAGTGAAACTTCTATACCCATACAAAAATCACGTTTTGTTCAAAAGTGGAGTTTGTTTGGTAAACAAATTGTTTGTAAACAATTTGGGGGGGGGGGGCGGACCTGCTAATTACTGTTACTATGGTTACTAGGGTTACTATGGTTACTCATACTGTGGTTACCCCCGGACCTGCTAATTACTGTATGATAAAAAGCGCCTTATTTTTGAGATTCTAGAGCACTCTAGATTCATTGACAATATTAAATGATTCGGGAAGTGTTTGAAGTATGCAGCGCTTAAATGCTCCCGTTTAAAATAATATACATTTTCTGTCATGGATGACATTTCATCAAAGAAAGTGTCAAATGATTGTCAATTTTCAGCCAAAATTTTGAGATATGGGCAAAATGGGCATAATTTTCATTATTTTCAGGTCAAAATCAAAAAATTAAAAATAAATATTTCTGACACATTATGCATTATTTATTGAGCTGAAATATAACTCTACCTCGCAACTAAAGATCAGCGAACACGATGTTTGGTTTTCACCACAACTCACATTTAAGCTGCTTTTAAGCCCATGCCCCCCCGCCCCCCCCCCCCCGCACCCCCCCCCCCCCCCCCCCCCCCCCCCCCCCCCCCCGGCCCCGGCCCCCCCCCCCCCCCCCCCCCCCCCGCCCCCCCCCCGGCCCCCTAGTTAGTAGTTTGACAGCCACTAAATGAATTGAGAGGTATCACACATGAACACTAAATGAATTGAGAGGTATCACACATGAAACACATCAGAATTATACATGGCAAATGACTCTCAGAACATTTTGATAGAAGACGTTACTCGATCATTCCATTTGAAATGTGAGCTGATTAACAATACATTCTTAACATGCAGGGAATCTGAGGGAAGCAGCCAGCAGGACACACATTTATCAGAACGTGTTTATCTGATTGAGACGGTCAGTGGACAGATTGGTTACTAGGGTTACTATGGTTACTAGGGCTACTATGGTTACTAGGGCTACTATGGTTACTAGGGCTACTATGGTTACTAGGGCTACTATGGTTACTAGGGCTACTATGGTTACTAGGGTTACTATGGTTACTATGGTTACTAGGGCTACTATGGTTACTAGGGCTACTATGGTTACTAGGGTTACTAGGGTTACTAGGGCTACTATGGTTACTAGGGTTACTAGGGTTACTAGGATTACTATGGTTACTATGGTTACTAGGGTTACTATGGTTTTATCCTCTCCTGTTCCAGCGCGTATCTAGCTTTCTCAGCCTGCTCCAGCTCGTGTCTCACCATAGTAACTCTAGTAACCCTAGTAACCCTAGTAACCCTAGTAACCCTAGTAACCCTAGTAACCCTAGTAACCCTAGTAACCCTAGTAACCCTAGTAACCCTAGTAGCCCTAGTAACCCTAGTAACCCTAGTAACCCTAGTAACCCTAGTAACCCTAGTAACTCTAGTAACCATAGTAGCCCTAGTAACCCTAGTAACCCTAGTAACCCTAGTAACTCTAGTAACTTACTTCTCAAGCTTTATCCTCTCCTGTTCCAGTGCGTATCTAGCTTTCTCAGCCTGCTCCAGCTCGTGTCTCACCATAGTAACTCTAGTAACTCTAGTAACCCTAGTAACCCTAGTAACCCTAGTAACCCTAGTAACTCTAGTAACCCTAGTAACCCTAGTAACTCTAGTAACTTACTTCTCAAGCTTTATCCTCTCCTGTTCCAGTGCGTATCTAGCTTTCTCAGCCTGCTCCAGCTCGTGTCTCACCTTTTCTGCTTGTCTTATTCGCTCTAGTTCCAGTCTGGTGAAAGTGAAAGTGAAAGTGAATTAGTGAATTAGTGAAATCATTTACAAATAATTGAGGGTTTTACACAGTTACAATACTGACTACTGAGTCAGCTCTTGATGGCAGATAATTTAAATTATATTAATTATGGAGTAGTACTACAGTATTCTGGTACCGGTGGGAGGCATATTGTTTTGATACCTGACAGTTAATCAAACACCAATTAAATCCCAGAGTCACTGTCACGTGTCAAAACAAAATGCCTCACTCCCGGCACTCCCCGCTAGAATCCACATCTATCTATTATGAGTAATTTATCTAAATATTTTCAAACAATACATAATTATACAGAATTGCATGCTTCTAAATAAACCCAGATTTAAAAGGATATATAAAACCTATATAGCCCAAATTTCCAGTAGCCCAGTATATTATTATATGCAGTCCATCAAGTACAAGATAAGTTTGTTGAGAGCAGTGGTGCTAATTAATTAATTAGGTTACAAAAACATGATTTCAGAATCGATGAAAATTGACGTTAGCGACTGATTTTAATTAATTATGACTATTTAGTACTTAGTTAGTACTTAGTTAGTACTTAGTTATTAATACCTCTCTTTTTCCTGTCTTATCTTTTCAGCTTCTTCCTCGAATAATTTGCTCTTTAATATTTCATCCTCTCTTATCTTCCTCATCTGTTCCTCCTGGAATTACAGATTATTGTATTGTATTGTATTGTATTGTATTGTATTTTATTGTATTGTATTGTATTGTATTGTATTGTATTGTATTGTATTGTATTGTATTGTATTGTATTGTATTGTATTGTATTGTATTGTATTGTATTGTATTGTATTGTATTGTATTGTATCAGACCTTTACAGATTAACTTGTGAGAGATGTTCGTGATTAAAAAGCTATAACTTGTTGTAGCGAATAGCAAATTGCTAATTACAAATTAAATTATCATTCAAAATTAAAAATAATCCCTCGCTAGACCTGTACCTGTTGTCTAATTACTAATTACTAATTACGCTAGACCTGTACCTGTTGTCTAATTACTAATTACTAATTACGCTAGACCTGTACCTGTTGTCTAATTACTAATTACTAATTACGCCAGACATGTACCTGTTGTCTAATTACTAATTACTAATTACGCTAGACCTGTACCTGTTGTCTAATTACTAATTACTAATTACGCCAGACATGTACCTGTTGTCTAATTACTAATTACTAATTACGCTAGACCTGTACCTGTTGTCTAATTACTAATTACTAATTACGCTAGACCTGTACCTGTTGTCTAATTACTAATTACTAATTACGCTAGACCTGTACCTGTTGTCTAATTACTAATTACTAATTACGCCAGACATGTACCTGTTGTCTAATTACTAATTACTAATTACGCTAGACCTGTACCTGTTGTCTAATTACTAATTACTAATTACGCCAGACATGTACCTGTTGTCTAATTACTAATTACTAATTACGCTAGACCTGTACCTGTTGTCTAATTACTAATTACTAATTACGCTAGACCTGTACCTGTTGTCTAATTACTAATTACTAATTACGCTAGACATGTACCTGTTGTCTAATTACTAAAATTACTAATTACGCTAGACCAGTACCTGTTGTTGTTGTTCTTCGGCCAGTTTTGCTTCCATAATTTGTCGTTGTGCTAAGAGGTATTTGTCGTTTTCCAGCTGTGCCAAGTGCTGTATCTCCTCCTGAAATTTAAAAAGGTTTTTAATTATTTAATTATTTTGGATTTTTAAAGCAATATTAGATTGTTAGGGCTGAGATAAACTCTTTCTAAATCTCAAAAGATTTGGGTATGTTAGCCTAGCAGCTATTAGTGGTTACTAGTGGTTACCTGTGGTAACTACTATTGGTTACTGGGGGTTACTATGGTTACTAGTAGCTATTAGTGAATCAAGGGAAGATTGTAAGTTGCTTTAATATGGTTACTAGCAGCTATTAGTGAATCAAGGGAAGATTGTAAGTTGCTTTAATATGGTTACTCGCAGCTATTAGTGAATCAAGGGTAGATTGTAAGTTGCTTTAATATGGTTACTAGCAGCTATTAGTGAATCAAGGGTAGATTGTAAGTTGCTTTAATATGGTTACTAGCAGCTATTAGTGAATCAAGGGTAGATTGTAAGTTGCTTTAATATGGTTACTAGCAGCTATTAGTGAATCAAGGGAAGATTGTAAGTTGCTTTAATATGGTTACTAGCAGCTATTAGTGAATCAAGGGAAGATTGTAAGTTGCTTTAATATGGTTACTAGCAGCTATTAGTGAATCAAGGGAAGATTGTAAGTTGCTTTAATATGGTTACTAGCAGCTATTAGTGAATCAAGGGAAGATTGTAAGTTGCTTTAATATGGTTACTAGCAGCTATTAGTGAATCAAGGGAAGATTGTAAGTTGCTTTAATATGGTTACTAGCAGCTATTAGTGAATCAAGGGAAGATTGTAAGTTGCTTTAATATGGTTACTAGCAGCTATTAGTGAATCAAGGGAAGATTGTAAGTTGCTTTAATATGGTTACTAGCAGCTATTAGTGAATCAAGGGAAGATTGTAAGTTGCTTTAATATGGTTACTAGCAGCTATTAGTGAATCAAGGGAAGATTGTAAGTTGCTTTAATATGGTTACTAGCAGCTATTAGTGAATCAAGGGAAGATTGTAAGTTGCTTTAATATGGTTACTAGTAGCTATTAGTGAATCAAGGGAAGATTGTGAGTTGCTTTAATATGGTTACTAGCAGCTATTAGTGAATCAAGGGAAGATTGTAAGTTGCTTTAATATGGTTACTAGCAGCTATTAGTGAATCAAGGGAAGATTGTAAGTTGCTTTAATATGGTTACTAGCAGCTATTAGTGAATCAAGGGAAGATTGTAAGTTGCTTTAATATGGTTACTAGCAGCTATTAGTGAATCAAGGGAAGATTGTAAGTTGCTTTAATATGGTTACTAGTAGCTATTAGTGAATCAAGGGAAGATTGTGAGTTGCTTTAATATGGTTACTAGCAGCTATTAGTGAATCAAGGGAAGATTGTAAGTTGCTTTAATATGGTTACTAGCAGCTATTAGTGAATCAAGGGAAGATTGTAAGTTGCTTTAATATGGTTACTAGCAGCTATTAGTGAATCAAGGGTAGATTGTAAGTTGCTTTAATATGGTTACTAGCAGCTATTAGTGAATCAAGGGAAGATTGTAAGTTGCTTTAATATGGTTACTAGCAGCTATTAGTGAATCAAGGGAAGATTGTAAGTTGCTTTAATATGGTTACTAGCAGCTATTAGTGAATCAAGGGAAGATTGTAAGTTGCTTTAATATGGTTACTAGTTACTACTATTTTCTGAACAGACTCGAGTAAAAACAGGATCAAGTCTTACAATGACATCATTAATAAACAAACAACCCAATTTATTTGTTTGTGAGTAGTGTTGAAGGAATTAATATAATAGTTCAGATTTCATAATTGTTCTATTTATTAATAACTAAAACTGCTAACAGTTGGACTGTGACAATGAGAATTAGGTCACGCGACAGTGAGAAATAGGTCACGTGACAATGAGAATTAGGTCACGTGACAATGAGAATTAGGTCACGCGACAGTGAGAAATAGGTCACGTGACAATGAGAATTAGGTCACGTGACAGTGAGAATTAGGTCACGTGACAGTGAGAATTAGGTCACGTGACAGTGAGAATTAGGTCACGTGACAGTGAGAAATAGGTCACGTGACAGTGAGAATTAGGTCACGTGACAATGAGAATTAGGCCACGCGACAGTGAGAATTAGGTCACGTGACAGTGAGAATTAGGTCACGTGACAATGAGAATTAGGTCACGCGACAGTGAGAAATAGGTCACGTGACAGTGAGAATTAGGTCACGTGACAGTGAGAATTAGGTCACGTGACAGTGAGAATTAGGTCACGTGACAGTGAGAATTAGGTCACGTGACAGTGAGAATTAGGTCACGTGACAGTGAGAATTAGGTCACGTGACAGTGAGAATTAGGTCACGTGACAGTGAGAATTAGGTCACGTGACAGTGAGAATTAGGTCACGTGACAGTGAGAATTAGGTCACGTGACAGTGAGAATTAGGTCACGTGACAGTGAGAATTAGGTCACGTGACAGTGAGAATTAGGTTCATACTTTCCCGCAATAATGTTCATACTTTAAGCAATAATGCAATAATTTATTAATTTATTCTAATAACTTAAAGTATATTTCACCTCTTCTTTGACAAGTTTGCGTTGTTGTTCCAGTTTCACCGCCCTGTCTATCTCCTTTTTAATCTCCTCCGCTCTCCTTACCTGCTCACTATCCTGCGGGTTTTATAGCGTTACACACAGCTGCGTTACACAGAGCTGCGTTACACATAGCTGCGTTACACACAGCCGCGTTACACACAGCTGCGTTACACACAGCCGCGTTACACACAGCCGCGTTACACACAGCCGCGTTGCACACAGCTGCGTTACACACAGCTGCGTTACACACAGCCACGTTACACATAGCTGCGTTACACACAGCCGCGTTACACATAGCCGCGTTACATAAAGTGAAAGCAACGCGTTAGTAACGCCTAACAACTACGTTACACACAAGTAAAAAAGGTCACTTCAATAATCAAACCAAAAACACCAAAATTGACCCTGAAATCTAAATTTCTAGTTTATAAAACAAAGTAACTTAAATACTGTGTATACATAATATATATAATACATTGGATGTATAATATATTATTGCACATTGCATACCTTACTCGGGAATATTATAGCGGGTTAATTTATGACTGGGAAAATTAATGACCGGGAAAAATATGGCGGAATTTTCCAAAACCCACCACACAGTCATAATATTCCCGAGTAAGGTAAATCACAAAACCAACAGCTGCCCCTAACAGCGCCTGTATAACACATGTATTCTCAAACACTCAAACAGCGCCTGTATCACCCCTGCAGATTTCGTCGATTTCAGGTGCCGACAGGACCTTAAAAATTAATTTAAGCAATCTTAAATTTTTTTCCCCTAAAATCGAGCGCTTTCTGCGCAAAAAATTGACCTCAACAGAAAAAATTAAACATGGCTTCAAATCCAAATTTGAACCAGAAATTTTTCACTTCCTCTCGATAAACTCAATTTTCAACCCAAAATAAAGTCTCAAAGGGGAAAATTACTCAGGTCAGGATTGTAGGCAATGATTATGCCAAACCATAGATTTTTGTAAATTCATTAAACTTTCAATTTAGCCTAAAACACCCTATTTCGCAAAATTTTTCCGGGGGGCTGCGCCCCCGCCAATGGGGTCCGCGCCCCCAGACCCCTGCCACAGCTTGCAGCTTCGCTATCCGACAGCTCCCCCCCCCCCCCAAAGAAAAATCTTGGCTACGTGCCTGAGCAAAATATAGATTTAGGGCTTTTCAGATGATTTGGCTCCTCAACAGATACCGACGTACATAACGGTCAATATGTAGTTTAGGTTTACCTGGCCCGTAGGTTACGAATGTGCTCAAGGAGAAAAAAAAAAGCAAACTTAAGAAGATTTCTCGGGAACTTAAAAGTTCACCTCAAAACGAAATCTGCACCTATGGCCTGTATAACACATGTATTCTCAAACAGCGCCTGTATAACACATGTATTGTGTGGTTATTTGCACTTACCACGTTGAAAGTGTTAGTGAGACCGTTATAACTGCTGGAAGTTTCAACTGTGCTCCCCCAGATACTGCCACTAGCACTGGTCGTCCAGGCGGGTACAGCTGCTGCTGAGGGGGTATGTTAGTTAGTGGGGGTTTTTTATCCTTGAGGTCCCATATCACTTTTGATAGCTCGGTACTCAGTCTGTGCTTAGGATTTTTGAAGCTTTGTCGATGATTGTACCATCGTGTCTTAAAGCTGTTTTCTGTCAATCCAATATATGTCGAGTCCTTGTTTAATAGAGTTTTGACGACTGCTTATGGTAGACTATACATTTGGCCAGACATTGTCCTTTTAGGGGGCACTTTGAGGCGTCTCTGCAATTACACTCTTTTTCTGGAGCTTTTCTCTTTTCAGATTGTTTCTCTAGGACTGATTTGTTGTGTCCTTTGAGTATCCTTTCCAAACTAGGCATGCAGCAATAGCTTATTTTCACGGTATTCCTATTGATTATTTTGTGTAACAGCAGATTTTTCGGGAAGTGCTTATCAATGAGAGCGAAGAACTTTCTTCCGATGTTGGTTGAAACATTTGCGCTGAATGGGGAAACGGATCGTTTGCCCGCCAATTTGATTTGTTTCAATTGTTCGAATTATAATGCTCCTGCTTAAATGCAGCCGAGCACTCTCTTTGGGAAACCAAGCAACAGCTATTTATTATTATTTACATATACTTATATATAGGGGGGGGGGGGGTGACATGTCTCCAATGTCTCCAATGTCTTTTGTCTTTTTTGAAAAGATAGGGTGCAGAGACATGTCCTGGAGACATTGGAGACATTGGAGACACAGCTTTTGGAGACATTGGAGACATTGGAGACATTGGAGACAAAGCTTTTGGAGACATTGGAGACATTGGAGACACTGGAGACGTAGATGTATGATTGGAGAAGGAGGAGGATCTAGGAGGAGGATGACCCAGGAGGAGGACTCAGGTGGAGAAGGAGGAGGATGAGGACTCAGGAAGAGGACTGAGGAGGACTGAGAAGGAGGAGGACTGAGGAGTACTGAGGAGGATGGCTGAGGAGGATGGCTGAGGAGGATGGCTGTGGAGGATGACTGAGAGGGAGGAGGAGGAGGAGAAGGACTGAGGAGGAGGAGGAGGAGGAGGAGGAGAAGGAGGAGGACCTAGGAGGAGGAGGACTCAGGAAGAGGAGGAGGACTCAGGAGGAGGACTCAGGAAGAGGACTCAGGAGGAGGACTGAGAAGGAGGAGGACTGAGGAGAACTGAGGAGGAGGAGGATGAGGACTGAATAGGAGGAGGGGGACTGGGGGAGGACTGAGGAGGAGGGGGACTTGGGGAGGACTGAGGAGGAGGAGGAAGACTGACGAGAAGGATGAGGAGGAGGACTGAGGAGGAGGACTGATGATTGAGGAGGAAGAGGAGGAGGATGAAGAGGAGTAGGAGGACTCAGGAGGAGGAGGAGAACGACTGAGGAGGACTGAGGAGGAGGAGGAGGAGGAGGATGAGGAGGAGGAGGAGGAGGAGGAGGAGGAGGAGTCTCCAAAAGCTGTGTCTCCAATGTCTCCAAAAGCTGTGTCTCTAATGTCCCCAATGTCCCAAATGTCCCCAATGTCTCCAATGTCTCCAAAAGCTGTGTCTCCAATGTCTCCAATGTCTTTGTCTTTTTCGAAAAGATAAGGTGCGGGAGACATTGGAGACATGTCACCCCCCCCCCCCCTATATATAGATGGAACCGTTAAACTGCTAGATTTTTATGTGTGAATTCTTTCAGTCGAGGTTTCATTTTTGTTGACATTAAAAGCTAATCAACGTTTTTATTTCCACGTTTTTATTTCTACGGTCTAGAAGGTCATTAAAAGTTGTTCATCCTAAAAATATTAAAATTATCTCAAGCACATGTTAAAAATTGATCTTCAACTAAGTAAATTGACGTTAATGTAGCTGAAGACATTAAACGATTCAATTATCCCCAATTATGTAATTAAGCTGCTTAAGTGATTCAATTATGTAATTAAATCTAATTAAATGATGAAGCTTAACTGAAATAACCTCTTAACCATCCAGTTAACTCCACTACTACTGTTCACACTGAATACAATAAGAACTCGTAACCAGCTTCACACGTATAATACACATTACAGGCGGGGTGTAACACTCATGACTCAGTACAGAAATGTATAATGTATAATAATGTATTTAATGTATAAGGTCCTCGCTGCTCTTAGCCTCTCTAAATGCTTATTATTATTGCGGGTCGTGGAGCATGCGGCTTATATTTCTAGAAGTTTTCAGATTATAGTTTTTGGATGAGATTTTAACAAGATTGTGTTTTAGTTCGTCTAGAAACCTCGGTTTTGGTAAATTATACTGACACGTACAGCATTGCATTTGTAATTTAGAGTGTAGACATTTGGTAAGATGTATAAAATATACACAATATGAAGGAAAACCACTCACATCAATATGCAATATGATACTAAAGTGCAACGTTACATGATTTACTTTGTTTACAATACAATAAGTTATAGATCTTTAGTTTTACTGAAATATACAGAGTGAAGTGTTTAAGTAGGATAAACTGTGGTTACTAGTGGTTACTGGGGGTTACTATGGTTACATAAACTGTGCTCTTTAATGTAGTCCTGAACATGCTTCAGAATTCTAATGTACTACTATTGAAATGTAACGCAATTTAAGTCCGGTATTTTCGTTTGACATTTGCAATTCTAATGCCCAAATTACAAAGATCAAATTGTATTAGAATACTATGTATTATGTTGATCACATGCTATAATCTCACATTTTTTGAAAGTTATTAACTTTATTTAATTATGAGTATCACAAACGTTATCATTAGTTGACACTAAGTGAGTAAGTGGGTTTATTGTATTTACAGAATATGTTTGAAAAAACTAAAAAAGAAGAACTGCCATTCACGTTCCCTCTATGTTCTGTCCAATCTAACTAATTGTACCACATGCCATAAAACACGTTGGATGACGTTTGGATGACGTCATTATTGGATGACGTCATTATTGGATGACGTCATTATTGGATGACGTCATACCATAATAACACGTGATCAGGAATTTGAATTTGAATAAGTTGCTGGTGAGTGATGGGAGTCGCAGTTGGGATGTTTGCGGAGGGGGCGGCGACTTACCAGGGGGCTGAGTGATGTGTCCTAGTTGGGATGTTTGCGGAGGGGGCGGCGACTTACCAGGGGACTGAGTGATGTGTCCTAGTTGGGATGTTTGCGGAGGGGGCGGCGACTTACCAGGGGACTGAGTGATGTGTCCTAGTTGGGATGTTTGCGGAGGGGGCGGCGACTTACCAGGGGGCTGAGTGATGTGTCCTAGTTGGGATGTTTGCGGAGGGGGCGGTGACTTACCAGGGGACTGAGTGATGTGTCCTAGTTGGGATGTTTGCGGAGGGGGCGACTTACCAGGGGACTGAGTGATGTGTCCTAGTTGGGATGTTTGCGGAGGGGGCTGCGACTTACCAGGGGACTGAGTGATGTGTCCTAGTTGGGATGTTTGCGGAGGGGGCGGCGACTTAACAGGGGACTGAGTGATGTGTCCTAGTTGGGATGTTTGCGGAGGGGGCGGCGACTTACCAGGGGACTGAGTGATGTGTCCTAGTTGGGATGTTTGCGGAGGGGGCGGCGACTTACCAGGGGACTGAGTGATGTGTCCTAGTTGGGATGTTTGCGGAGGAGGCGGCGACTTACCAGGGGACTGAGTGATGTGTCCTAGTTGGGATGTTTGCGGAGGGGGCGGCGACTTACCAGGGGACTGAGTGATGTGTCCTAGTTGGGATGTTTGCGGAGGGGCGGCAACTTACCAGGGGGCTGAGTGATGTGTCCTAGTTGGGATGTTTGCGGAGGGGGCGGCGACTTACCAGGGGACTGAGTGATGTGTCCTAGTTGGGATGTTTGCGGAGGGGCGGCAACTTACCAGGGGACTGAGTGATGTGTCCTAGTTGGGATGTTTGCGGAGGGGGCGGCGACTTACCAGGGGACTGAGTGATGTGTCCTAGTTGGGATGTTTGCGGAGGGGGCGGCGACTTACCAGGGGACTGAGTGATGTGTCCTAGTTGGGATGTTTGCGGAGGGGCGGCAACTTACCAGGGGACTGAGTGATGTGTCCTAGTTGGGATGTTTGCGGAGGGGGCGGCGACTTACCAGGGGACTGAGTGATGTGTCCTAGTTGGGATGTTTGCGGAGGGGGCGGCAACTTACCAGGGGGCTGAGTGATGTGTCCTAGTTGGGATGTTTGCGGAGGGGGCGGCGACTTACCAGGGGACTGAGTGATGTGTCCTAGTTGGGATGTTTGCGGAGGGGGCGGCGACTTACCAGGGGACTGAGTGATGTGTCCTAGTTGGGATGTTTGCGGAGGGGGCGGCGACTTACCAGGGGGCTGAGTGATGTGTCCTAGTTGGGATGTTTGCGGAGGGGGCGGCGACTTACCAGGGGACTGAGTGATGTGTCCTAGTTGGGATGTTTGCGGAGGGGGCGGCGACTTACCAGGAGACTGAGTGATGTGTCCTAGTTGGGATGTTTGCGGAGGGGGGTGACTTACCAGGGGACTGAGTGATGTGTCCTAGTTGGGATGTTTGCGGAGGAGGCGGCGACTTACCAGGGGACTGAGTGATGTGTCCTAGTTGGGATGTTTGCGGAGGAGGCGGCGACTTACCAGGGGACTGAGTGATGTGTCCTAGTTGGGATGTTTGCGGAGGAGGCGGCGACTTACCAGGGGACTGAGTGATGTGTCCTAGTTGGGATGTTTGCGGAGGGGGCGGCGACTTACCAGGGGACTGAGTGATGTGTCCTAGTTGAGATGTTTGCGGAGGGGGCGGCGACTTACCAGGGGACTGAGTGATGTGTCCTAGTTGGGATGTTTGCGGAGGGGGCGGCGACTTACCAGGGGACTGAGTGATGTGTCCTAGTTGGGATGTTTGCGGAGGGGGCTGCGACTTACCAGGGGGCTGAGTGATGTGTCCTAGTTGAGATGTTTGCGGAGGGGGCGGCGATTGCTTGTCTTCAGGCTGGAATGGTATGCGGCCACACTGCTGAATCATTATCTCTGTGGAAATTGGTGGAATTTTGTTGGAGAAATTACAAAACATGCAAAATATTTAGTTTAGTATATACTGGAGAGATCTACTAGTGCGTTTGGAGTAAAACGCCGATCACAAGAATAACTTTTAAATATAATTGAATTTCTCAAACTCTTCAAAATATATTATACCATAGGCCATAAAAACAAATCAAGATAAGGTCATTTGACTTATAATTGCCGATACTCCAACATCTTATCTACCTAATTTAGTAAACTGCGTGTCAGCAGAACGTCTAATCTGTGGTTACTAGTGGTTACTAGTGATTACTATTGGTTACTATTGGTTACTATGGTTACTGTGGTTAATATGGTTACTATGCAATGGTTACTAGAGGTATTTACCTAATTTAGTAAACTGTGTGTCAGCAGAACGTCTAATCTGTGGTTACTAGTGGTTACTAGTGGTTACTATTGGTTACTATGGTTACTATGGTTACTATGCAATGGTTACTAGAGGTATTTACCTAATTTAGTAAACTGTGTGTCAGCAGAACGTCTAATCTGTGGTTACTAGTGGTTACTAGTGGTTACTATTGGTTACTATGGTTACTATGGTTACTATGCAATGGTTACTAGAGGTATTTACCTAATTTAGTAAACTGTGTGTCAGCAGAACGTCTAATCTTAAGATCCATCCCAAAGTAACCCTCTTTAAACCAACCAAACATTTTGACCGAGTCGAACGGTCCTTGAGTGTTACCCTGAAATATTTTATTAAGTTATGTAAACGGTCCTTGAGTGTTACCCTGAAATATTTTATTAAGTTATGTAAATTAAGTTATTTAAATATATGTAAGTTCTTTGAGAGCTGTACATATTAGATATTTAAATTACACGTATAGTACGGTAATATATATAGTACGACATATTGTATCAAGATAAGATTAGTTACCTATACGGTAATGAATGTAGCTTGTAGATCAATTAAATGATGTGACGAAATCTTGAGGTTCAAACTTCCAAACAAAAGATATGTATCTTACTGTAAAGTATAATACTACATATTCTGTGTTGTCATGGTTACATCACCATATTATTTTTATTTTTAAACCACTTATTTCATTAGACCATAATATTTCTAATCTAAAAAAACACGAACAATTGCCATAATTAATTACTCCACAAATTTTCCACAAAAAGTCACGTACCTTTGGATCAAGGTAAAACCACATCTCGTCGGCTCGGTAGGTAGACTGTTGCGTTACTATGGTTATTAGAGACTGTTGCGGTTGAGGAGGAAGTTGAGGTTGTGGTGGTGGTATAAAACCTGGTCCTCTTAGCATCTCACCTCCAACCTGTGGTTACTAGTGGTTACTAGTGGTTACTGGGGGTTACTATGGTTACTAGAGGTTGTGGTGGTGGGATAAAACCTGGTCCTCTTAGCATCTCACCTCCAACCTGTGGTTACTAGTGGTTACTATTGTTTACTGGGGGTTACTATGGTTACTAGAGGTTGTGGTGGTGGGATAAAACCTGGTCCTCTTAGCATCTCACCTCCAACCTGTGGTTACTAGTGATTACTATTGGTTACTGGGGGTTACTATGGTTACTAGAGGTTGTGGTGGTGGGATAAAACCTGGTCCTCTTAGCATCTCACCTCCAACCTGTGGTTACTAATAGTTACTATTGGTTACTGGGGGTTACTATGGTTACTAGAGGTTGTGGTGGTGGGATAAAACCTGGTCCTCTTAGCATCTCACCTCCAACCTGTGGTTACTAGTGGTTACTAGTGGTTACTATTGGTTACTATGGTTACTAGAGGTTGTGGTGGTGGGATAAAACCTGGTCCTCTTAGCATCTCACCTCCAACCTGTGGTTACTAGTGGTTACTATTGGTTACTGGGGGTTACTATGGTTACTAGAGGTTGTGGTGGTGGGATAAAACCTGGTCCTCTTAGCATCTCACCTCCAACCTGTGGTTACTAGTGGTTACTATTGGTTACTGGGGGTTACTATGGTTACTAGAGGTTGTGGTGGTGGGATAAAACCTGGTCCTCTTAGCATCTCACCTCCAACCTGTGGTTACTAATAGTTACTATTGGTTACTGGGGGTTACTATGGTTACTAGAGGTTGTGGTGGAGGGATAAAACCTGGTCCTCTTAGCATCTCACCTCCAACCTGTGGTTACTAATAGTTACTATTGGTTACTGGGGGTTACTATGGTTACTAGAGGTTGTGGTGGAGGGATAAAACCTGGTCCTCTTAGCATCTCACCTCCAACCTGTGGTTACTATTGGTTACTATTGGTTACTGGGGGTTACTATGGTTACTAGAGGTTGTGGTGGTGGGATAAAACCTGGTCCTCTTAGCATCTCACCTCCAACCTGTGGTTACTAGTGATTACTATTGGTTACTATTGGTTACTAGTGGTTACTATTGGTTACTGGGGGTTATGTTACTATGGTTACTAGCATCTCACCTCCAACCTGTGGTTACTGGGGGTTACTATGGTTACTAGAGACCTGTTACAATTATTACTATTATTACAATTACTACACTATAATAGAGAAGTTGAGAAGTTAGGCCCTTCACAGTTCACAGTAACTTGTTGTAATTTCATGTTTAATCCTATTATATTACGTGAACTACATTATTTAATATTAAACATCGTGACTGTTTATCTTGCTTTTAATTCATCAACCAACCCATCAAAATGCAAGTGTTAAATCTTACAATAAAATACATGTTATATAAAGCGTGTTTATCTGGGGGCTTGGTTCACCTGACCCTGCTCAGCTCATTTATATTAGCCCATATATGGTACTTTAATATTATATAAGCGTATTAATGTATTTAAAGATATTTTTGGAATATTCGATATATTATACCTTAAATATACACTAAAATCCCCCCTTTGTAAGATAAAGAAGTGCAATGCACACCGCGCACTTAGTGCATCGCGCGCAGTGAACAGATTAATTATCCACAAACAGCTGACTGATGCAATGAACCAATACATGTATTTTAGAATACCTGCTAAAATAACTTAGCTGGTATTTTAGAATACCTGCTAAAATAATTTAGCTATATATCCTGCAGTCTCAAAACACATATTTGAAAATACCTAAACTGCTTACAAAATATCATCTCAAAATCTCTCTTAAATGAGCAAAATTATTGATCATTAATATAATAATATCAACATACTTAATATAATATTATATTAAGTGAATGTTGATATTTATCAACATTCAACATACTTGATTGTTGATGGATTTCCCTATTTCCGCAAGAGAAGGAAATGGAGGAGACCCCCCGGAGAAGGGTTTGGGGGAGGTGGTGTGGTGGGTGGGGGTAAGTGAGGAGGAGGAGGAGGGGAAAGTGACTTGGGGCGAGATTGTGTCACGGTTGAAGAGCTGAGGCATGTCGAGGGGAGACGTTGGAGTTGTCCCGGACGTTGAGGCACTGAGGTTTGGGGAGGTTAAATCACATTGAATTTCGGTAAAACTGAGGTTGTGTGAGGTTATCTAACACTGAGTTTATGTGAGATAAGATATCACATCTAGAGTAGGTAACAACATCTTGTGGTTATACGAATTCCAAAGAATTTAGCTTGAATGTCCTACCTCGACAACGAAATACGTAATAGCGTATAAATACAGCAAGTTATATGGAACACTAAAGGTCCATGTCTCGTATTATATGTATAATACATGATTTTATCTCACTGAAAAGCTACTCTAAAGCTCTAAGTTCAATTTTACAGATATCCACCTAATGTTCCTAATCTTTAGGTTTAGCTAAATGAATTAAGCAAATCTCATTGCAAACTGCTAAGAAATAAGTATTGTCATTTTCATGGTATAATATTCAAGAGATAAAGTAAGTTGCTTTCATAAAACATCAGATTTTTACGTTCCTACGAAAAGTTTAATCTCTCATCAGGTTACTATGGTTACTATGGTTACTATGATTACTATGGTTACTATGGTTACTATGGTTACTAGTCTCTCATCACAGAGAGCGCTCCAAAATGTCGGGGAGAAATGATTGTATATGATTATTGATTACTGTAACCCTATGTAATCAGAAATTTGGAGGCCAACATATCTCTTATAGGTCGAGACTTGAAATAAAACGTGGATTTTTCTTTAAATTCATGGATTAATAATGAATTTACGAAAAAGACCTGTAAATATCAATTTCTATCCGTTGGATTATGCCACATACTTAGAGAGTTGTGATGGCAGGGGCCCCGGGATGTCCACTGACAGTTGCGATGGTAAAGATCCTGGGATTTCCACAGACGGAGAGGAAACACTCCCGAACATTCCACCACCACCACCACCTGGTGATGAAACACGTGCGTTACTATGGTAACACGAGACATGATACAAGAGGTAAAAACGTAATAAAACATACGTGACAACACATGATGACTCCTGAAACCATTGCCCAATGGTGAATTTTCGTCTGCTCATCTTATTTATGTTGTCAATGATACCCACCGTTGCAGACACAAACTTATTGTAGTCACGTTTCTAACACCTCTTATGGTTATCAAAGCATAATTAATAAATTAATAAATAAATAAAGTCAAGTTTTATACAGCACATTATCGGTAGATCAGTCAGTTATTTAAAACAGACATTCATAATTTGTGGACGATATATTCCCTATATTATGTAATACTATATACTTTATGTAGCAGGGCATAGTTGAGGTGCACTATATACTTTATGTATAATATTCAATGATACAATATTCTGAGGTTTAACGTGACTTACCCATAAATAATTATTATCTTGAAAAGCACAAACCTTGCGAATCGCTGAAGTTTGAAAAAAGGACGTGAGAGTTGAAAGCCTCAGTGCTTGAGTTAGAGGTGGGTTCCACATTGTACAGAGACTGGCTGATGCTCCTCAACATGGTCTCGGGCGAGTCCTCCACAGGCTTGAAGTGCTGCTGCTCCTCTAGTGAGTTGAACTGCAGTGCTGCGGTTCGTGCAGGAGACGGCGGTTCCATTGCCTGTGGAGGCGAGATTGCTTGCGGAGGCGAAAATGCTTCTGTCCTTTTCCAGCTGTTTGTTTCTCTGTTGTCTGTGGAAGTATCTTGGTTTAAAGTCAGTACTAAAACTAATCTCAATGGACTCACAAATTACCTTTTCCACTGACAATACAATATTTCTGAATATCTCTCACTATGCTATATATAGAGATATATCTCTCACCGATGCGTGTGGGAGAGATGGATTTAGGAGGGTAGGGGGGGTAAGATGGGGGCTGTTCGGCCGTGTTTACTAGGACAGGTACAGGGCCATCAGGCTGAGGGAGGGAGGGAGGGAGGGAGTCCGGACTGGGATCTCTGCGCCGCCAATTGTCAGAGTCTGCACTTCTTGGTGTTTCGAAGTACCGGGAGGAACCGCCTGAAAATTCACGCCTTGTTCCGCCCCTCCCCACTCCCCCACCTCTACTTCTAGTGGACGGTCTGCCACGCCCTCGGTCACTGCTCAACCCTCGGCTGTGGTAGGAATCCTGAAGAATCATTTTAATGACTTTGAAACGTTTATTAGATTAGTACGACAATGACGCATTACACCTGCGAAAGTCAGAAAATAAACTGAATAAATAAATATTGATACGGTATGATTGAACTATCACAATATCTCCGTGACAATACCTTCAAAGAATAAAAATCATTCACAATGTTTTCAATTTTCCAAAATTGTAAGTTTACTTACGGAAGGGAAGCAATAATAAAGTAGGTAATTGTAATTTTACTTACGGAAGGGAAGCAATAATAAAGTAGGTAATTGTAATTTTACTTACGGAAGGGAAGCAATAATAAAGTAGGTAATTGTAAGTTTACTTACGGAAGGGAAGCAATAATAAAGTAGGTAATTGTAATTTTACTTACGGAAGGGAAGCAATAATAAAGTAGGTAATTGTAAGTTTACTTACGGAAGGGAAGCAATAATAAAGTAGGTAATTGTAAGTTTACTAACGGAAGGGAAGCAATAATAAAGTAGGTAATTGTAAGTTTACTTACGGAAGGGAAGCAATAATAAAGTAGGTAATTGTAAGTTTACTTACGGAAGGGAAGCAATAATAAAGTAGGTAATTGTAAGTTTACTAACGGAAGGGAAGCAATAATAAAGTAGGTAATTGTAATTTTACTTACGGAAGGGAAGCAATAATAAAGTAGGTAATTGTAATTTTACTTACGGAAGGGAAGCAATAATAAAGTAGGTAGTTGTAAGTTTACTTACGGAAGGGAAGCAATAATAAAGTAGGTAATTGTAATTTTACTTACGGAAGGGAAGCAATAATAAAGTAGGTAATTGTAAGTTTACTTACGGAAGGGAAGCAATAATAAAGTAGGTAATTGTAAGTTTACTAACGGAAGGGAAGCAATAATAAAGTAGGTAATTGTAAGTTTACTTACGGAAGGGAAGCAATAATAAAGTAGGTAATTGTAAGTTTACTTACGGAAGGGAAGCAATAATAAAGTAGGTAATTGTAAGTTTACTTACGGAAGGGAAGCAATAACAAAGTAGGTAATTGTAAGTTTACTTACGGAAGGGAAGCAATAATAAAGTAGGTAATTGTAAGTTTACTTACGGAAGGGAATGTAACCTGGCTCTCTTCCGGATGACCAGATAAGCAGGCTGGTTTGACAGGTTCCGGTGCTGCAAGATCGGGTATGGACAATATGGATTGTGGACACTGTGCCGCTGTCCACAGATTGAGTATTTCTTCCTGACCATACCTGTTCTTGGAGAAAACGGCCACTGGTTTGCTGCGCAACCTAGAAAATATAAGGTTACATTAATACATAATTTACATGACGTGACCTTGTATATTAAACATTTTGAAATGAATTGTTGTGATATGTATACTATCAGTACTTCATCATGAGACTAATAAACAGCGAACTACTCCAACATTTGATGTTCCATGATTAGACATGATTTTATTATCTGCCTCAAAAACAGTTAACAGTTAACAGTAACTATGATCAAAGGCTGATGATTAGAAACATTCCACAATGTAACTATTTTAATATGATTAAACTATCATACAACCACCAACAATCAGCAATAATAAAGTAGGGAAGCCCTTACCAATCAGCAATAATAAAGTAGGTAAGCCCTTACCAATCAGCAATAATAAAGTAGGTAAGCCCTTACCAATCAGGTCCGAGAGTCACACTGTTGATATCCTGAGAACTGGTTTCTGTAGTCATACTTGACTTGGCTTACCTTGTAATACAAAATAAGTTTATGCAGTTAAATTCGACACTAAATGTAGGAAATAAATCTTTAAATTGTGATAATGAATGAGTCAGGGTAAAAACAAAGTCTAGTCCCAGATATAGAGTGAAACATTCAGTGAACTCAGTACGATCAAGATATATGAAGCAGCTTAACTTAGTAACAAATATTTTAATAATGATAATGATTTAATCTTTTACAACAAAAAAAACAATTCAGGACACAAGAATCCGACGGCCACATTCAGATGCAAAACTGTCAGGACTTGATACACTAAGTAACAAGTTTTATCAAAATGTGTATGGACTTTCCAGTAAAAAACATTAAAGAAGTTTCACGCATGGCTATTGTGTCAAAATTACACTAGCGTAATCATTCGGAAACCCACCACCTTCTCAGCTGATAAAATAATATATATGAACGACCTCTTAAAGTTACAATTTATTCGCATTGATCCGTCTGTGTGAATGGGTGTAAATCTGTTAAAAATAAAAGAAACTGAAAATTCCCAACAGTATCCCAGTATGGGATTTAAAATAACCCACGAATAAAAGAAATCATTCCGAACAATCTTAATAAAAATGATTTCTTGCCTGCTAAAATTTCCAATTTCGTACTTAAAGGCTGAGCTTAATCAAAACAAAATAATCACGTTGCTTTTGAGTATCGCTATGGTGACTTTATTTTGTATGGCAATAAATTCTGAAGAAATCTGTAGTATAATACTCTCTCGTTGCCAACAGGATATTATGTTTAAAGGTATGAGCAGTTGAACGTCTTATCAAGTGGCGTAACGTTAGTGGCTGAATTAACTTGGCGCCCCCCGGCGGCTCGAAAAAGTCGCCCAAATTTTGTGTGTCCCTAAAAAAAAAATTTAAAAAAAGTCGGGTACCTTTTTTTGGCGCCCCCTACAGCTTTTTTGCGCCCCTGGAGCAAAAAAAGGACTCCAACAATTTTTTTCACACCGACTGAGCGCTAAATTGGACAGGGGAATACACCAATAAGGCGTTATTTTCAGTGAGAGGTCATAAAATTCAAGAAAAATTCAAGAAAAAACCTAGGGGCGACTTTTCGTTGAGAAAGGGCGCCTTTTTGGCGCCCCCTGAGGGTGGCGCCCCCCGGCGTAGCCGGGGTGGCCGGGGCAGCGTTAAGCCACTGGTCTTATCGTAATATATTTAGTACTAAGTCACTCTTCTAATGCTAAGTACTTGTACAGAGTAAGTTACTAGTTCTTGGGGAGATTGTAATGATTCTTATTATATCATTTTACTATATGTTTTGATATTAACTAATGTTATAAAATGTTACAAACTGTTATCCCTTTTACCTGTGACTTTGAATCACTGTGAATAAAATCGTTTCACTTAGTTCATCCTTATAGCAAAAAAATATTAGAGCATACAAAAAGCTCCAGGGCCAGGGGGTGGCAAAAGATGGAAGAGATCTGTTTTAGAGATTGTAACCTCACATTTCATAGAAAGGGTCATTCCAACAATACATATACAGTAAATTAAATCAACCGATGTAATTGGCAGAGCACAATCAGTTAAACAAAAATTCAGTTAAACAAAATTTCAATTTTATGCCATTTATTACAGAGTAAAGTTTACAATAAATCAATTTGATATTTCAAAGAATCCTAATTCAATGTGTAGTATGGTTGTCACTCTTTAAATCGATTAGATATAGGTTGACGGGCAAAGGAGTGGGCGTGCTGTTCGCTATTGCTCACACCAAACAGCAACCTAGTAAATGTTTTGTATGGACACCGGTCTCCATCACGATACAATATTAGGATTGTAGAATTTATTGTATAACTTTTAGTACAGTGGAGGTAGCGGTGTGGTGCATTAATAGAGTGACAGCCTACTAATTTAGAGTTGTTTTTAAGTGAGCATAATGGGTATATTTTTTGACCTAAAGGTTTTAGTATGGCAACTTTAAAATTGGTTCTTTTAATCATTTATTAAATATCAGTTTTAAAATATATAAATCTGGAATCTGTTCACACTGTGAACCAGTCCTATAAAAATTTCAAAAATCCTCTTAAATTAAATATTAAAAACGTTTCAATAATGTAAATAGTCATACAATTAATAAATCTACCAAATTCTTAATATCTACCTAAGAGAAAAAATAGCTACCTAAGTCAATGTCTACCTGTAATACACTAAATATTAGTTTAAATACATAGGTGGTGGAGTCAGCACACATTTACCAAAATCAAAAAAAATCATAAATGCTGAACATGTAATCTATATCCCTCTAAGCTCTTCTCCTTGAAGATCAGGTTGAAGGACACGTTGGATATGGGGGCAGTCCATACCTTCTTTGTAACCTCGCTAATTGCTAATAATAAAGAAATGTCAAACAGTATATATACAATAAATTAAATCAAGTGATGCATATAGTTGGGAATGAGGTAGTAGTCTGTTCACAGATCGCCCTCTAAAAACTTACAAGGAAATATTTCCTGTAGATCCTTGGTATATAAGCAACATTTGACAGAGCATTGTGTGGAGTGAGCTATGTGCCCATCCTTGGAGAACCCGGCGAATGTCCTTACTGTACGGCAGTGTTAAACAAGGAACTGAAACCGAGGGGTTCCGTTCAGGCCCTTCACACTTTGTTTCTGTCTAGTTCTAATGTACCGTCACAATAGTGACTTATAAATAAATAAATACAACATTTATAAACCGCCTTATAGCTAAATCATATAACTCGATATAATTTAATCCTGGAGATAAACTCCAGTGCTTTCTAAAGCGGCTCTTACATTAACTGAGCTTAGTTTAATTGAAAATTAGACATGACAAGTTCATTTTACCTATGTAAATGCAAAATCAATCAAATGCTAGAGAAAAGAAGTATGTTTTAAGTTTGGTCTTGAAAGATGTAACTGACTCAGCTGATCTTATGTCGTATGGCAAGGAATTAAATACTTTAACTGCACAGTGACTAAAAGCTTTCTCTGTGTTTACATAGTTAGGAGAGGGCGGAAAACTAAGGTAAAAATAATCATTATCAAGACGTACATTTTTAAAACTTTGCTGCCTAGGAGATATCAACTCTTTTAAGTAAGGAGGAGCTATATTATTTAAACACTTGTAGGCAAGTAGGGCAATCTTAAAATCTATTCTAAATCTAACTGGTAGAAAATGAACTTTCTTAAGTAGTGGAGTAGTGTGTGCCTTTCTTCCTCTCCCGAAAATAAATCTTACAGCAGAATTTTGCACCTTCTGTAAACGACTTAAATCATAAGATTTAATATATATATAATATATATATAATATATATATAACTAGCACGAACTTTAGACCAAATATCTTAGGGGACTTGGAATAGCATGATGATGATGAAAATCTAAATATTATAGGCTACAATGAGCATTTTAGTAACAAATAGTATGAAAGATCTGAAATTTAAAAAAATAAAATCCCTAAAAATATTTACACCCCAAGTTAAAAATATAAATACTTTATTTTTAAAACACTATATCAAATAAGGTGGTTGATCAGTCACTTGTGTCATTACGACGACGTCGTTATATCAACCCACTGCGAGCTGATCATTCGCGAGGTGAAAATGAGCGCTGGGGACGATCTCTCTGAAATTTTACCTGTTGGTTCAGTGGACGATTTTAGCCACAGCGCCTTAAATTTAGCACGATCGTCCATAATCACACAAAGTTACAGCTAATTTAGTGATGTAAACACTCGTCGCAATATACTGGAATTGAATCGAGCGCGTTACTATGGTTACTGCGCGTTGATATGGTTACTAGATTTAGATTAGATTCATCGTTTTAGCGCGCGTAGCATGTAGCATTATTACAATTCTATCATATTGTCATATTATTATTAGATGCACGAGTTTAGCTGCATTTTACATTTAATTTCAGGAATCTGCAAGATTTGTAATCGATTAGATAATATTTAATTTCGTTCTTCATTCCTTGCTTGGCGGTCCTCATTTATGTATGTATTTTACCTGGGAGCGGGAACTCCAGGCTACGCTTTTCATTAACCGGGATGTAATTTTCATAAACCGATTAGAGTTTAGTCAGTATGACATGCTGATCGCCGCCAGACAGTTGAAAATTTGTTTCATACACATAAAATTGATTGTGTCATATCTGAGTTCTTGGCTGTATTTCGAAACCTCAGTCAGTTGTGGGTTTTTACCGGCCTAAATAAAAAGTCAAGTTTACAGGACATTTCTGGGGAACCTTACTATGTGTTTTACTTAACAAGATCAAAGATGAGGAAAAGGAAGCGTGCATTCGAGAGCGTATCATTTTGTACATTATAAATATATTACCCCGATCTGAAGCAGGAGGTGACCGGGATTGGCAATTTTGAGTTATCCCGGTCCCGGTCAACCGGGTCAAGTCACATTTTTCATCCCGGTCGCGGTCAAATGCTGATTTATGATCCCGGTCAATTCAGGATTCTTGGTCCCGGTCAATCACTCAAATTTGCCGGGATTTTGACCGGGATCTTTTACATAATTTCATTCACTGTGATTTTAAGTTTTTACTTTCATTCATTGTGAATTTCATCCTAAAACAACCTCTGAGCCACATAAAACAATGTTTAAAATTGCTAAATAAGTTTAGGTAACTAATATCGTTACATAACTCATGTGCAAACTAACATCAAGTTTTCAACTCGGGCTACGCCCAATTGTCAATTGGAGAATGAAACTGTTGAATAATGAGGGATCATTGACTGAGGAATGAGGGTGAACTTGAGTAATCAGTACATGAACATTATTGGTGTAGTACATTAGGCCCATGCCCCATATTGACGGGTTTTTTCTATTTTTTTCTAATTTAATATTCTAGTTATTACTTATTCAAATTGTTCAATTATAATGTAAATGAAAGTTGCAGCTTTCAATATGAGAATACCAGTTTTGGTCCCGGTCATCCCGGTAAAATCCCGGTCATCCCGAAAAAATTGTATTGTTGGTCCCGGTCCTGGTCAGATAGAAATCCCAGAAATTATTGGTCCCGGTCCCGGTCACGGTAAATTGATAATCTCAGTCCCGGTCCCGGTCAAGTCACATTTTTTATCCCGGTCCCGGTCCCGGTCAGGCCTAAAATCATGTCCCGGTCACCTCCTGATCTGAAGTTTGATGACTAGAAAACAGTGAATACAATTAATGTTTATTAATATCATTATCGAACTTCATATTATATTGTTTATCCTAAGTAAAGATCTGATAACTCTACAACAGGGAGCGGTTAAACTATAAATGGAAACAATTTAAATACTGAAACATAAACTAGTGTTAACATATCTATAATACGTTAACTTAAAACTTAATTACATCAACTTGCAAGATTTAAAAAATTTTCCCTATAAAATACAGAGGCAATATCAAATATGGCACAGTTCAGTCAAATGAAAAAATCTGTTTGTTGATGGCACTGAAGAATATTTTGAAAAAAGCTACGATGAAAGTTGAAGGAACAGTTAAAGGAACACTATACCAATTTCAGAATGTAAATTTTCGTGTTTAAATATCATACTTTATAAGGTATAAAGTTTCGTATTATTAATCAAAAGTTGGTGTAATATCACACGTAACACGTTTTAGATATTAAACAGAAGAAAGTTTTTTGTCCTAGATCAAGAGCTGCTCATTTCTCACAAGCAGTGTGGTCGGGGTTCTGTTCTTCGATTCTTGCTGCCTTTGTCTTTCGCACGCAAGTAGGAGTACCCTGAGGATTAGAGGCAATAATAATAATAACGCTTTATTTGTATACCGCTTAGGCCGTATAATCAACCATGAATTATTAAAATTTTATAGTTCTACAATTGGAACCTGCGACTTGTTTTGCAGTGAATCACAATCCAGACGAAATGTGTAATTTTAAAAAGTATAGGTACACACCTGTCCGTAGTTTCTCGTACATCACGCGTGACGTCCGGCTAGAAGGAGTTTCTCCCAGGTTTGCTGTCTAGGAAGAGAGAATGGGAGATGAGAGCTGTTTGAGCTTTATGACTTCACTTAACAGCCAGAGGTGCCATAAGCTAACTCGTCGTAAATTGCGAGCTCTGGCAGGTATCCTCGGGTGATTGTCAGATGAGATGGTGGTCCAAAAGAAACTGCTGGGAGCCTGACAGAAAACCGTATTGCAAGCCCCGAAACGGTGTCAGGTTTGTGACTGAAGATTCTGATCAAGCTCAGGGTTGAGTCTACACAGTGTCGCCACTTGCCGATGCCAGTTGATGCGACAGGACACTGATTTAAGTGGGAAGTTGTGTCTAAGAAACAGCGTGTGGTTCGGGTGCCGGTTGAACGCATGTAATAGGGAGGGTATATCCGTATTTCGCTGCTAGGAGGTGGTCCGCAGATTGCGTGAAGATGCCTACTTTTAAACCTATCAATAGGTTCAATAGGTAGGTGCTAGTGATGCAGTCCTTGACCCGGAAGCTAAGGCTTCCCCGTTTCTCGCTCATTTGTGCTCCGATGTTCTTGTGACCTCTGCAGGGGTCAAGTGCAGGATGAGGGACATGGCCGACCAGGAGAAGGTTGTTTTAGAGAGGTATTTTTATACAGTTTAACTGTATCATTACCCTTGGAAATCTCTCGACCCAAACGATGCCAAATTCTGCCTCCGAGCACAAGTACTTTGTAGGGGGTCAGCGAGTCATTTCATGTCTATTGTTCAATGTCGTTGAGTACAGGGGAAGTTAGCTGCTGTCTACTGCCGTTATTCTCCAATTCTTAGAGTTCGTCTTTCGCACGTGAGTAAGTTTCCTGGGGAAAATAAATAGTCAACCAAAAATTATTAATAATAAACATAGATGGACTTCCCACAATTATAACCAGTAAATCTGACACCTGCTAGCTGGCGTAAATTTAAAATTTAACACGCAGTGCGCGCGCCGCGCGCTAAAAATATCTCAAATTTGAAAACTCATGTGGTTTTTACCGAAAATCGAATTCGCGCCAGCCGCCAGTAGATGAATCCATAAATTTGGAACATGGGCACATCACAGTATTGGCCGTATTTGAGTGCTGGGAAGGCTCAGTTCGGATTTCTAAGATGGATATAGCCGTAAGCTAGGCCTAGGAACCATAAAAAGTCGTATAAAACTACCCATGGAATGACCAGAAATGAACGAAAATGAACATTCTTCTCAAAGTGCTCAGAATGGTTTAAAATGGGTCGGAAAGTGTTTATATTAGTCCTAGGACCACTCAAACCAAGTTTGAGAATCATTACATGTCTAGAACCGATGTTACCAATGTTCCAAAATGTCCCAATTTTGGCACAATAATCCTCCTGAGAATCCAGATTTTTGGAACATGGGCACATCGAAGTATTGGCTGTATTTAAGTGCTGGGAAGCCTCAATTCGGTTTTCTAAGATGGATGTAGGTAAAAACTAGGCCTAAGAGCCATCAAAACTCAAATAACATTACCCAGGTTCATGGAATGTATGGAAAATGAACAAAAATGAAAATAGTAGTTGAGATGGTGGAAACATTTGATACAATTTTGGAAACATGCTTTTACAGCCGTATTTATGCTTGTACTGACTTGGACATGTTCATAAAAAGGTGGCACTAGAGATTGATTTTTCACTGCCAAAATTGTGTGAAGCATTTTAAAATACTTGTATCTCAAGGAGTATGCTATGAAAGTTAACCAAATTTTAATGTGGTCCAAAAAGATTCAAATGTCACATAATAAAGGCATTCATCTCTTTATATCTGTTAATTGTGCAGATATGAGCCAGAAATCACAAAATATTCATTTCTTGCACCTCTAATCATGAATTTACATTCTGTGAGTGTGTCCTGCTTCTCAATGACATTTGAACACTGTCCATTAGTACTCCGATGAAAAAGCGATGAATGTCGATTTGCCGTGATTCTAGCTTTGTGTGTTATTGTGTGATTTCAATGCACGGCAATGAAGGGACTCAGGTACCACGATCTGGCAGACAAACATGTCTGAACAGACATAGCGAGTCAGATCTGGTTCAGGAAATTTTATCGTTTAAGAGATATTCATATTTCATATGAATCAATACTCAGGTTTCTAATTTTGGACTCGCCCGGGGTTTGATTATGATACTTTGAGGAATGACATTTGATTTATAAGTTGATTTCAAATCCCCTATGGGTACCAGAAATACTGGTTTCACAACAACAACATCACTTTTTGGCTCTATATCAGGTTGGTATTCATAGTAAATCTGCAGTAATTTGTTGTGACACTGCACTTGTTTATGGTCATGGAGAAGTTCGTTATTAGAGTAATAGTGGAATCAATAATCACAAAACACTGATTTTAAACTGATTAAACTAGGCAAGTACTTTTACTACTCAAGCCATGATAATTTTGTCTCCATACTGTGACAAATGAATCAATCAGTTACGTATAATACTTAATTGAATTTTTGAAATGTGATTATCGATTCATTACCTTTCTTTTCAAAATGTCATTACAACTTGAACATTACATATGATTCAATTGTCATACTTTAAAGAAAATTACATAGTTGGTAGCCAGATTTGTGTGATTTTTGAATCATTTAACCACCCAGATCAAAAATTATCGCTCAAAGGCCTTCAATATGGTATAAGCTTAGACATGGATTCAAAAATCACATAATAAGAACCATAGAATGGATATATGTTGTCATATTGTGCACTTAATTTAAGGCTTACTATAGTGAGACTTAATAGCGCACCAATAACGAAAATGTGATTTTTGAATCATATTAACTGGTTTTAATACTATTTAATACTATTTTGTACCCTAACAAATGATAGAAAGCCAATAAAAACGTAAGATGATTCAATAATCACTGCTCAAAATAGGCTCATTTCCAATGTTTAAGTTGTGATTTTTGAATCATTTTGGCACCAATAACAATTTCAGATAAGACATTTTATTCCTTACATGCATTATAGTCACCATATCAATTTTGGCGTCTTTGTGAATAGTACTTTTCAGATTATCTAGTGTTGATTCATCTTGCATTTCTAATTGTGTGATTTTTGAATCATTGGCACACAAATAACGATAACTCCTGTGATATAAGCACTACAGACTCCGTGATTTCAGGATCATGAAATTTAATCGAATTTCTAAAGGTATAGATAGATATATCAACCAACAAAGAGCAATGACCATTTTTAAAACTCATTTTAAAAAAATCAATCTCTAGTGCCACCTTTTTTTGAACGTGTCCACTTGGAATCTATCTGGTATGGTAGAAGGACACATGTACTAACATTTCCAGCCACTTAGACTTGCAAAATACTCCCCTGGTTCATGGAATGAATGAAATGAACACAAAATGAACATTTTCCTAGAATCCCCTGAATTGGGCTAAAACCAATTGGAATCGGTCGGTATTGATACCAGGAGTGTCCCTGAGAAGTTTGGTGTGCCTAGCATGTTCAAAAAGGGCTCTGGGGCAATGTTTCTATTTTGGTTTCAGAGTAGTTGAGATGGTGGAAACAATTGACACAAATTTAGAAACATGCTTTTTAGCGGTAATTATGCCTGGACTGGCATGGAATCGATATGGTATGGTAGAGGGGCATATTGTTTACTAACATGTTCAGCAACTCAGAAGTTTTTTTCTTTGAAATTTAATACTCCACCGAAGGGATAGGGTGCGTCAAGAATCATCCAGTTTCACATCGAAAGCACTATTTTCACACATCAAATTGTGACATTTTTTGTTCAACTTTAAAAAAACCTTTTTAGTGCAAAATGATCCCCTGGTTCATGAAATGAACAAAAATGAACTTTACCCTAAAATCGCCTAAACTGAGTTGAAGGCGATCAGAATCGATTGGTATCGATACCAGGAGTGTCCTTGAAAAGTTTGGTGGCCCTAGCATCCTCAGAAAAGGCTTTGTGGGCAATGTTCCATTTTGGTTTCAGAGAAGTTGGGATTCTGGAACAGAATTGAGACAAATTTGGAACAGGCTTTTTGGGCAGTAATTATGCCTTGGCTGACTTAAAATCGATCTGGTATGGTGGAGGGGTATATTAACTACATTTTTGGGTGTTTTCAAATTAAAGATTTCAAAGCCAGATTTTCGGCTTAAGTTGGCTGGGACATGCCCAAATTGTATATGCTTTGATCGTGATCGGGTTTTCAAAAATAAACGATTTACCTTTCGCATATGATGGACTTTTTCCCGAAGAAGGTGGGTATTTTATCCTTGTAGTTTTCCAGAGAAGGACGTAGTCTTTTCCACATCTCTGTCATCAGTGAAGTCCTCTCGATTAAACGGTACCTTTTTGGCACTCCTGAGATAATTGACTGTCTTATACACAATGGTTTTACCGTTTACAACATTTGCAGTAATATTTATTACCGAATTTAATTAGAATTTAACCCATACATTTTAAACACATGAACTGCTGTATCAGTAACCATCAAAATAGAGACAAACCTATGAATTTGATGTTTATCTTGTTAAGTGGGAGGTTAACCTCTTCTTGACACAAAATACCAAGTCGTCTCCTGAGATCTCCGACATGACAGAGGAAGCTACTGTCGAGTTCGATATTACAGCTAACCTAAGATAGTCAAACTGAGTGGGATCAATTTTAAGCATTACAAATCAGCAGTTATCAAGCAAATGTGATGAAAGAGCCATTATTGAAATGTAAGGCAGATCTAGAGCTAGGAATGTGTTTCGGGGCATCAAAGAATAAGTATCTATGTACTGTTCTTTACCATACCATTTAAAAGATTTAATACATGGAAGTATCACAATAATATACTTTTTCAAAAACATAAACACATTTAAAGAAAGGCTCGAATGGGTTATCGATATTTCCATATAATGCAGGATTGAAATAATCTGTTTAGGAGTAATACGTTCAAATTCGATCCTGATCTACAAAAGTGTAACATGATAGCAAAATCCGCTGTGCTTTTCTATACTAGAACAAGTTTTAGTAGTCTCCAGCACATCACAGCTTAAAGGCAGTAACACTAAATCGATTACATTAAATAACCTCTCAAGATCATTTAGTAATATCTGTATTTCAATGTGCAACGAAACAGCTTCTATACTACTTTACTACTTCTATACTACTTTACTATCAACTAGATATACGGTTTGAGCATTGAAGCTCTATGCTGTGAGCAGCAACGAAAAGAGATGGGATTGCAATATATCGACTCACTTGTGAAAATAATGATTAAATCTCAAATCTCACTTGTTCAGAACAATTACGATTTCTAACTGCGCGGCGTAGTGCGTACTTTGAAATCCAAATAAAAATTATTTTTGATCAAAATATTGGAAAACAAAATTACAACATGATTCAAATCTTGTGTAAAAAAATGTGATAAACAATATGCTGTTAAAAACTTTCGTGAAAAATTTTAAAAAGCATGATTCCCACCCGATTATGTGAAGTTATCATTTTTATGACTTTTACAGGTTATAATTTTTGTCAAGAGCTTAGCCATTTATTTGTCAAAATTTAGGTCATGGTATCATGTTATGTGACTATACAATGAGATTATAATCCGTTAAAATCTTGGAGTTTATCAGGGGATAAAATTATTTGTAGGTTTATAAACTACCAAAACGCGCGCTGGGTTGGACTCGTTGTATAATAATAATGTATAACTATCAATACATGATACACGATAACGTAAAACTATATAAATCGATAACATATAAGATCAAATAAACCATATGGTACCAAGTTACATTAATTGATGAAATCTTTCCATGTTTTAGAATGAAAATCCATATTACACAAATATTCCTAGCTTTAAGTATGACACACATTATTACATGATAACGAATTGATTTAACGCGCATATGCAAAATATATTGTAATTGTATAAGAATCGACCTTGTTTTTTAAAGATTAGTCATTTAAAGTATCGATGAGAAAATCCCTGTACAAATAGCTTCTACTTATAATCCGATAAGTTATGTTGTATGATGCAATGAAAATACTCATACCGCGCGCGCAGCTTGAACTACGACATACGCAAGCGTTCAGTTGCAAATTATAAGGTCTACCGAAGTTTGTAGGGCGCGAAAAATTTTATGTTGACGTGCTCGCGCATTCTGAGTAGTCAGCTCGCGTTGGGAAGTCAAAATATTCCCCAAAATAAGTTAAAGACGATTCCCGATCGAAAACGTTTTGGTAGAAAGAGTTTCTCAAATTACATAAATATCATTGGAAATGCAATTTTATGGATAAAATCAATAAAGCTTACAAGTAAATCCCAAAACAAAGTAACACACCCAACAATGGTTGAGATGTGATACATCCAAGCAATCTAAGTCGAATATAATATCATGAGCTAATCTAAAAGTAGCTCCAATGTTCATGTAACCAGACAGCAAGAAAGTGACTAGAAGGTACATATATACCTTTATAAACAAAAATACGTCGAAAAGAATCCAGGGTGATACAGGATCGGAAAGTGCAAACCGTAAAGTTTACTCAACCACCTTGCATCCTGTTAATTCTTGGTTGAATAGACATTTATGTTTATTGACGATGTCAATTCATCGCAGCTCAACGAGGCCCAGTAGCGCATTTCGCTGATCTAGCGAGGATGTGGTTGCGAGAAGCGTAATTGAGTGCGCGGCGCGGCACAGTAACGCATCACACTACAACATGTATGCAAACTTAAACTACTTCAAATCCCTTTGTTGTTTGTTGAAAGAAGTAGTATTATTTAATTGACGATGTCAATTCTTGGCAGCTCGGCGAGGCCAGGCCCAGTAGCGTATTTTGCCGATCTAACGAATGTTAAGAAAAGCATAATTTATATTGGATGCGCGGCGCGGCCCAATAACGCATTGCGCTACAATAATATTATTCATGTCTAAGGTTAGCTTTATTCAATATATATATATATAATAACAATATTAATGTATTTAATATCAATATCAATATCAGACTAACCTATCGAATAAATTAAAATTATCAAATATTAATTGATAATTAATATAGCGCGGCGCACAAAGCCAAATTGCATTGGCTTAAAAATAACGCGGCAATGAAGTTTTAATTGAGACTTGTTTCACGTCGTGACCCCCATTGTCGTTTCACTTTAAAGTTTACTGTAGGGTTTCTACGATACAGGGGGAGCCGCGCACTCGTGCGCGGCGGGTCATACAACGTATGACAAATTGACACTCAGCACTTGACCATTGTTATTACTGGGCCGCGCTCAGCCTGTCATTCCTCCGAATCTCTATTTGGCGGATGTTTATAAACATGATAGCCTGAGGTCCCCAGGTAACCATTGTTAATGGTTTGGCCCGGCGCGCGCTACTTCGTAGCACTTGCCAACATTTCGAGAAGAAAGCGGTGCGCGCTACTTCGAAGAAATTTAGACGAGTAACATCCGTCAAACTCAGCACCTGTAATTAAATTAAATTGTAATTTTACCTTTAAATTATCTGGCACCATGCACACTTGTACGCGTACGTTTATAATTTACCAAGACGCGCGCCGAGTTTACATATATTGGTGACCAGGTGACGCATATATATTGTATGTTTAAAACTTACCAGGACGCGCGCCGAGTTGGACTCGTAAACGGTCCTTGACGGATGTTACTCGTTTAAATTTCTTCGAAGTAGCGCGCGCCGCTTTCTTCTCGAAATGTTGGCAAGTGCTACGAAGTAGCGCGCGCCGGGCCAGACCATTAACAATGGTCAACGACGGTCTTTAAACTCTTTATATATGGAACAAATATTTTACGAGTATCACCCGTTAACATATATATTATTTGGAGGACTTCGCCGCTTCGACGCGCCGCGCAAACTAGCAACTAGCATTCTTGACGAGATCGTTGCTCTGCTTCGCAGAGCAACGATCTGGAAGGGTTGACATCGTCAATCAAATATATCATATATATATTTTGCGTCGAGTGTGCTAAATCACTTTACATTCGATTTTCGAGATTGTTCTAAATTTGTAGAACAATTGCACTACTGGGTCGCGCCGCGCATCAAATAATTCTTCTCGGTAGATCGGCGAGATGCACCACTGTGCCTCACCGAGCTGCGAAGGATTGACATCGTGAATCAAGTTCTAAATTGTCATACGTTGTACTTGTATGACCCGCCGCGCACGAGTGCGCGGCTCCCCTGTATCGTAGAAACTCTACACTATAGTGAAACGACAATGGGGGTTACGACGTGATACAAGTTCTAAAAGGGCCCCCCGACAGTTGGAGCCAACTTCAATCGATGTATTTTTGGACGCCTGACGAGATATTGGCGAAAAACTGTTCCGATCACGTGATATGACCGTATAATGAAGTTAGTCTAATTTCTCGTTAGGATTAGGGTTTCAGCATATGCTTTTGTTAGTATGTAAAATTACATTTTACATACTAACGAGTAATGACTGTTAAAGCTTGTGCCTCAGGCTGTTAGTGTTAGTCCCCTCACCCCTCCCCCCCTAGCTCCGTAATCAGTTTTACGCATAAATATTGTTTTAAAAATAAAATTACGCGCGCGTTTTCATTTTTAAACCCCTATCAGTAATAACATACTTAATGTACCAGTACTGTGAAAGACCACTAGTTGTGAGTTAGAGCAACTGAAACATCTATCGGTTTCAGACAAAATATTTTAAACGCAATAATGAAATGGATATTGTCAAAATGTATGCTCAATATATGACTATAAATGATTGCTCATTCAATAAGAAAACATAGCCAAAAACTTTTAACCATATAACTAAACAGTAAAGTAAGGAAAAATCATATTCATAACCAATAAATTTTAAAACCAACTACCATGAATACATTTAAAACAATATAAGATAGTAAACAATTAACATTAAGAGACATTACAAAGCAGACATTACAAAACGTCAGCAGAGTTATTCGGGCTGGGGGGTGAATCTCATGTACTGCTTGCGGAGTTACTCAGGCTGGGGGGTGAATCTCATGTACTGCTTGCCAGAGGGAACGTCCTCAACTCTCATTTTAGGGAAGAGTTTGGTAGCTTCCTCCCCTTTAACCGAGGGTAGGACCATACAGTCCCCTCCTGCCTGCCAATTAGCAGGGGTCGCTACCTGGGGGGGGGGGGGGGGGGGGGTCCGTTAGCAAGAATTTAAGAAATAAAGTAACTTTCGATACCAATATCATCATCGGTTGTATAGTGTATTACATAAAATAACACAATCTAAATACTAAACTAAACTAGCGGATTAGATGTGTTTGCAATATACTATAATGATACGATTGAAATTTTCAGGTTACACTTTCAGAATCAAATTGTTGAAACCACGTGACTTGTTAATACCACGTGACTTGTTAATACCACGTGACTTGTTAATACCACGTGACTTGTAAATACCACGTGACTTGTTAATACCACGTGACTTGTTAATACCACGTGACTTGTTAATACCACGTGACTTGTTAATACCACGTGACTTGTTAATACCACGTGACTTGTTAATACCACGTGACTTGTAAATACCACGTGACTTGTTAATACCACGTGACTTGTTTAAACCACGTGACCTGTTAAAACCACGTGACTTGTTAATACCACGTGACTTGTTAATACCACGTGACTTGTTAATACCACGTGACTTGTTAATACCACGTGACTTGTTAATACCACGTGACTTGTTAATACCACGTGACTTGTTAAAACCACGTGACTTGTTAATACCACGTGACTTGTTAATACCACGTGACTATACCTTCTTGTAAGCAGTAAGCTGCAGACTATCAATAACTCTGAGGAGCTCATCAAAGTTCCTGCCGGTAGTAGCCGGGTACAGGATGGATAGTTTCAGTTTCTTGTCGGGTCCAACAATAAACACAGCTCTAGCAGTGAGTGGGAGACCGGCTGCGTCTTTCTCGTCCGGGTCCAACATACCTGGGGTAATGGGGGTGGTAAAAGGAGGGGTAATGGGGGTGGTAAAAGGAGGGGTAATGGGGGTGGTAAAAGGAGGGGGGTAATGGGGGTGGTAAAAGGAAAGGGTAATGGGGGTGGTAAAAGGAGGGGGAGGTTTAATGGGGGGGGGGGGGGGTAAAAGGAGGGGGTAATGGGGGTGGTAAAATGAGGGGGGTAATGGGGGTGGTAAAAGGAGGGAGGGGTGTAATGGGGGTGGTAAAAGGAGGGGGTAATGGGGGTGGTAAAAGGAGGGGTAATGGGGGTGGTAAAAGGAAAGGGTAATGGGGGTGGTAAAAGGAGGGGGTAATGGGGGTGGTAAAAGGAAAGGGTAATGGGGGTGGTAAAATGAGGGGGGTAATGGGGGTGGTAAAATGAGGGGGGTAATGGGGGTGGTAAAAGGAGGGAGGGGTGTAATGGGGGTGGTAAAAGGAGGGGGTAATGGGGGTGGTAAAATGAGGGGGGTAATGGGGGTGGTAAAAGGAAAGGGTAATGGGGGTGGTAAAAGGAGGGGGGAGGTTTAATGGGGGGGGGGGGGTAATGGGGGTGGTAAAATGAGGGGGGTAATGGGGGTGGTAAAAGGAGGGAGGGGTGTAATGGGGGTGGTAAAAGGAGGGGGTAATGGGGGTGGTAAAATGAGGGGGGTAATGGGGGTGGTAAATGGAAAGGGTAATGGGGGTGGTAAAAGGAGGGGGGAGGTTTAATGGGGGGGGGTAAAAGGAGGGGGTAATGGGGGTGGTAAAAGGAGGGAGAGGGGGGGGGGGGTAATGGGTTTATTGAGAGTATTTCTTTACAACAGAATAACACCAGCTCTCAACTCTGCCTACGGGCATAACCGCATAAGCTGCACAAATCTGTTATAGTATGTTAATAATGTTAGAATATTTCACAGAATGACGAGAGGTTTAGAATATTCTAACAGAATATTCTATTTGGAAGGGACACGTGAGGGTTGAGCAGATTATCACTCACAGCAGGAATTCGATTATATGGTAGCCAGCTGAAGGCCCACAACTCACATAACGGAGAATTAATCTACCACGTGTTATTTTGGAGCGATATGATTGGCCGAGAGCAGGCAAAAGTAGGAACTTTTGAGTTATGTTCGGGGAAGGTGAGGAAAGGGTACAATATAGAAAGCCACAGTAATGTTGTTAGAACCTGTTAGTGACAAGGTTAGCAGTCGTATATCCGTCACCGCTCTGGATGGAATCCAAAAGTAAGAACTCAGTACTTTCGCTTCGTGGTCATATTTGCGCGCATTACCATGAGTGTGTACCGAAAAGTACTGCGCGCCTTCCAGCAACAAGAAATGCGGCCGGTTTTCTTTTGTGGATGGCCGCTCAATTTCCCGATTCGTGATCATGATGGCGTATTTATTATATTCCATACAACCTGGGGACCCCAGGCTTTACTGTTTATACTTTATAAGCATGCAGATATGGCGGAGTGATAGGCCGAGCGCCACCCACTAACTCGAAATAACATGCTATCAATTAGTGCCTAGCTAGTTGGATAATGGATACGTACATGGTGAAATTAACGATTTACTTGATCGGTTCAGCGTCGCGCTCCAATACCAATTTAATTCAGATTTCAGGATATTGCGCAAAATAACTTTCCGGAGTGACAAACTCCGCAAAGTTATAACTAAAAGGGCACGCACGCTCGCAGGCACGCACGCACGGTCGCAGGCTACCATATACAAAAAAAAACCTCGTTCGCTAACCCTTGTCCTTGACTCGGCACTTTGAGTCATGATCGAACAAAGTTCATGATTTTTTCTTGAAATGTTCTAAAGAATACATCATAAAAAGAGGAACTACAATTTCGTGATACCGTTAAAATAAACTATAATTTAAACAGCCGGTGTATGTGTACATTGTAATGTTATCTTTCATGACGTGTAGAAAATGTAGTTCCTTGTCCAAGAGCACGTGCAGGTAACCCAGACAACCAATAACAGCCTGATAAACACATCACGTGGTAATGCATTAGTCACGTGATATGCTATATTGCTGCTATAAAACTACTCATCCTCAGCAGGGTTGTGCCGTGCTGGGACGAACGTCATGGATTATAGTTCCTTGGAAAATGGAAATAGATAAAACACTGGAATGATCTATGTAGGAGGGGTGACATGTGGCTAATGAATAATGATACTAAGTGTATGACCCCCCCCCCTCGCCCCCCTCCCCCCCCCCCGGTGTGAGGTAGACATTATTCTAAAACCGTAATGAATAATGATACTAAGTATATGACCCCCCCTCCCCCCCCCCCCCCCGTGTGAGGTAGACATTATTCTAAAACCGTACTACTCCTTTCCAGAATTTTAAACGGAAAATGAGACACAAGAAGATAATAAAGTATTTATATTAACAGAGAACAGACAAGGTTTAATCAATTAATAATCTTCAGAGGTATTTCATAACACCAAACTACGACTAAATATCTTATATAACTGGGTCACCATATTTACTGAAAGTTCTAGAATTCCCAATATCCAGTGGTACCAACAAGTGTTACCATGGTAACAACAAGTGTAAAATATCTTAAATCTCAGTTTACATTGCAAAGTTTAGCTCTTACAGAGTTTAGATGACTGGATGGTCAGATTGTTCTTCTATACTACTAAGATAACTAAACTTCTAGAATAGTTTATTATTTTCTGGAGTCTAATATTGCTGCTGACTTTAACAATATTTTTAATATATCACAAGTGTTACCATGGTAACAACAAGTATATTACATTAGGTCAATGTGTTGAATATGATATTTCACCACATAGCACCAAATAGAACTGAATGTCACAATGTATTACAAGGTTAAGTTACAGCAATTAATATTTAATATTTATTTAACAATTCTCATGAAAGGTGTTAACAACATAATATGATTATTGCAGTTCCATTTTCTTTACGTCTCTCTGTCTTAACTAAAGTAAAAGTAATAAAATGTAATAATATATTATATAATAAATAATAAAATAAGCAGTAGATTATGTCTGCTATTATTATTATTGAGGTCAATAAGTACATTTAGAAGTAACCACACCGGATATTTGCGTTAAATAAGTTGAAATAAATATTATAGGGGGGGGGGGGGGGGGGGGTGTCACGTCCGTCTATGTCCGCCTATGTCCTGTCATTTTTGGATTCTATATGATGAAGAACGGAGAGAAGCTATTTCACTGAATGTCTATGGAACCTCCCTACTAAAAAGTAAAATGAGTAGTTCTGCAGCAATATTATATGTGAGCAGTAAAACAGACTGCAATGACTTGCCACCCATATAACGATGTCACGTGACTATTATTATGTTACCGCTCAGATGGGCGACCTTCTCCGAGAACTACTTAAAAACTACTCATTTCACTTTTTAATAGGGCGGTGCCATGCTAGCACAAACGTAACGGCTGGAATGATCTATACTGTGCACATTGCACTACATTTGTACTGTGCACTGTGCACTACATGTGTACTGTGCACTACATGTGTACTGTGCACTGTGCACTACACCTCTTTTTTAAACCGTACAAGAGACACGAGAAACAGTTTAATAGAAGTTTTATAGAATTCTAGATTTGCCTGGATGTAAATTCCATTGTAACATTATTCAACTATCAGTAATTCAATATTTCCAATACATAGTAATAGATAGCAATACATGACATTGAATAATAGATTACACCTGCAGTTAATGTGTAAAACTTGATACATATCTCCAGCATAACATCCCAGCATAACATAACATAACATCCCAGCACAACACTGGTCAGTTGTGAGTAGTTCAATAAACATCAGCAGGAATAATAAGGAATAATTACTCTGCAAGAGAAATGTTGCTGCCCGTACGCGTAAAACGGTACTTTCTACGGGCAACCCTCTTCAAACGTTTATTGCTTTGCTCACCTACAGTTTGCTATAATTGAGTATTTAAGAGCTACTCTTCAACAATTAGCACCGATGGCTCTTATGCTCTTATGGTCCGGAGTCTTACTTTTGTTAGGTCCGGACTCCGGACTCCGGACAAAACAAAAGCAATATTAGGGTCCGGACCTAACAAAAGCAATATTAGGGTCCGGACCTAACAAAAGCAATATTAGGGTCCGGACCTAACAAAAGCAATATTAGGGTCTGGACCTAACAGAAGCAATATTAGGGTCCGGACCTAACAAAAGCAATATTAGGGTCCGGACCTAACAGAAGCAATATTAGGGTCCGGACAAAACAAAAGCAATATTAGGGTCCGGACCTAACAAAAGCAATATTAGGGTCCGGACCTAACAAAAGCAATATTAGGGTCCGGACCTAACAAAAGCAATATTAGGGTCCGGACCTAACAAAAGCAATATTAGGGTCTGGACCTAACAGAAGCAATATTAGGGTCCGGACCTAACAAAAGCAATATTAGGGTCCGGACCTAACAAAAGCAATATTAGGGTCCGGACCTAACAAAAGCAATATTAGGGTCCGGACCTAACAAAAGCAATATTAGGATCCGGACCTAACAAAAGCAATATTAGGATCCGGACCTAACAAAAGCAATATTAGGGTCCGGACCTAACAAAAGCAATATTAGGATCCGGACCTAACAAAAGCAATATTAGGATCCGGACCTAACAAAAGCAATATTAGGATCCGGACCTAACAGTTCTACATTTGCAACTCAGGAACAGTTTTGTCTTCCTTAGCAAAACCTCGGCCAGCCTTCAATGCACGCAGCTTTGACAACAACACCAAAACACAAGCAATCAAGAATATGATGAGGATAACTTGTCCAATATTAGCACAGACTGACATAGTGAACAGAGGCGCTTCTCCCTCTGACACAGCTACTGTTTTCTTTACACACTTTTCAGCTCGACTCTTCTCATTTCGGCAGGTGACATTCACAATGGATTGGCTCTTCGACCTTTTGAAGCCATACCCCGGCTTGCAGGTGACAAGTACCTGTTCACCTGGTAAGTAGAAGGGTGCGTCACCTAGCAACACATCGTTACCATGGTAACACACGTCACCTACCACTGTGTTACCATGGTAACACATGTCACTTACCACTTCTCCGTGCGCTGCCTTGAACATGGTTTTCCTACATAAAGCAAGATGCTCATCTGGCTTCAAAACTCTCAAAAGAGCCAGATTTACTGTTGATGATTCAAGGTAGATGGATATTCCGGCTTTTGTTATTGAGAAAAAGCAAGTGTTGTCATTTCCAACAGGATCTTTCATGTACGAAAGGTCGTGAAGTGTTCCACTGGTAATTTGGAAGAGCTGATCTTCATTTCCGTCTTCACAGGGAACTACAGACATAATTATTTGCGAGGAGTCGTGAACCTTCGAGGTAACGCAGTGGTTCAGAGAATCGGCTTGGAGAACTTTGACAGATGTATATCTTCCAGTTTTATTGGATTGTTTCTCAAATTTCCACAGGATAGAAAGTGTGCAGTCTTTCCATTTTAAGTCCATCTTAGTCCCGAATCCAAGACACAGTCCACTCCCCACGTCCTTGATCAACACGCCCTCTGAATTGTGACTTGTTTTTATGACATGTTCAACTGTTCTACATGGCACAGAGGGACTTTGCTCGTAATTCTTTAAACAAGTGGTATCCCCTATGGAATAGGGAGGGGAGCGAATTTCCCCGGATGGAGAATCCAAAGTCGGGAAGCCGGAATGAAGGCTGCAATTTAATGCTTGAGGGTGGAAAGCAAATGAAAGACAGCTTTTGTGGAACCAACAGTACATCTTGCAAGCAGCTGCGCTCTTTACAGAAAAATTTGCAATCCCTTGTTCCGGGTCAAAAGTACAAGACCGGGCCCCACATTTAGCAACATCATAGCAGATCTCGGAGTATTTAGTGGGGAGGGAGAAAGTGTTGAATGTATGGTTTGTGGCCCCTATTGACCTGGGGTTTGTGGGCTCTGCAGACTCCGTGCCAAAGGAATGGGTAACATTTGACTTGCCATTAACGGCAGAAATCATCAAAATTACTGTAATTACCAGCATATTCTCTCTAGATGGACTTTGCTGCAAATGTGTGTAATTGTTTAGAATTAAAGCGATTAAGTTTGCAATTTACAGGAAGTTTTGAATTTGTATGGAATTACTGTGAAAATTTAGAATAAAACAGTCTTATTCTAGACTTAAATAAGTGCAGCGAGCATCTAAATTAAAATCACAACTAATGATGGTAACTATGGTAACTAATGATGGTAACTATGGTAACTAATGATGTTCGCGATAAGAATGATAAGATAACAGAAGTATGCAATACCAACTAGAGCTGAATTTAAGTCTGATCGAAAAGTTCAATAAACAATCATAAAAGCAAACGTCTAGCTGAAGAAAATAACTTCAGCAATGGAAAAGTAAAGTAAAGTGCTTCACCAATGGAGCACTACTACACAACTACACTACTACACTACTATACTTTACTTTATGACAAAGAGACGGTTTCAAGGTAGGAGAGCTACACTACTACACTTTACTTTATGACAAAGAAACGGTTTCAAGGTAGGAGAGCTAGAGGTGCAAAGTAACGCCTCCTTCAGCTATAGAAGACAGTTCTTTCAGACAACTGTTTCTCTCTCTCTCTCTCTCTCTTTCAGACAACTGTTTCATACGAATTACGAGACTTTAAGGCAAGATCGAGCTAAATATAAATATCGAGCTTGTTGTTGTGTTGTTGTTGTTTGATCTCGAGTATACGCCAAGACGTGAGCTTTAGCTTACTCGCTCATTTTAAGGAGCGGTTTGGCACAATTTATAGCTGATTTTCTCGCAAAATAAGAGCACAATGAACCAACGTCACTGTATCGTCACACTATTGGAGGTGCACTTTGAGTTTGACAACAGAGAGGAGCAAGAGCGCCACTACAACAGAGCGCCACTTCAAGCGCATTGAGCTTTTCATTTACAAAACAAAGATTGTGAGAGAGACCAAGTTTTTTCGAAGAACCGATAATTCTCATTCGACATTTCTTTATTTGGAATGATATTTTTTTAAACAATAAGAGCTAGCAGCTAGAGAGAAGAGTTGTTAGTTCTGATCTTTATTTCCTTTTTGTGACAGAATACATTTAACCGGGTTTACCCTTTCTAGCAATGACAAGCACACAGGGTTAACCGATTGGAGCGGGGAGTTGCGGATCAGTGGCAACAGACTACCGTCCAATCGGTAAGTATTTTAGTATTTATAATGGTTATTTATTGGGTATTTATTTGGAATTGGTTTAATATGAATTTAAAGTTATTCTATTATGTAATAAAGCTTTTTGTTTTACAGGTTTTGTACATTCGACAATACGTGTATTAATTGGTCATCTAACAACGGTCAGTGAAATAAATCCTCTGGAATGATCCCCCCGATTTATGCAGTACTTCATTCCAGAACATTCCACAGAAGATAAGAAACAGTTCTTTAATATGGTTATCAGGTTACTGGTAATAGTTCCTTTTAGCTAAGTTTGAAAACTGAGAAGCACGACGAGCCTATGTTCTTTTTCAAAGAAAACATAGATTTTTAAATCCGCTGAACTCGAGGTAACGTTATTATAATCACGACATTCCAGAAAAATGAACAAATGATATTTGTAATGACCAATTCCAACTAGATTACGGAGTATGTTATTTATCCACTATAGTTCATTCTATCGTCTTACTAATAAATAATGTTATATATCCACTATAGTTCATTCTATCGTCTTACTAATAAATAATGTTCCGATCCGGATATTACACAACCTTACTAGCAGGTATCTGGTATATACATGTATTTAACACAGTTACACAGTACACACAGTGTGTAACTCACTGTCTAGACGTGTGTAATCACCAGGTTATAAATCTACACTGCACATACCTACACCCCTGACACTGCGTATGAGTCACACTGGTCACAGTTTTAAATTTGATCAGTTTATAAAATCTCATTACTCATTGCTATGATCTTACATCTAAGCTAAACTCTGGCAGCACAGCAATATGTCCAAATATCTACGAACATCTGTATTTTGCATGTGAAAGTGATTCATTTTCGTATGTGTTACATGTATTATATAATCTTCTTTACTTCGTCTACTCTCTCTTATTTATAAGGCACAGTATGGTTTAGATGGTTTATCGCTACACAAGATTTAGCAAGCTATTTAGGCTTGGTTACTATGGTTACTTGGGTAGGAGTGGGCTAGTGCTTTTATAGTGCTGTTTGTAAGTAATGGTGCCCACATAAAGTAGTAAAGTACAACCCACATACTCCCGATATCACGTAATTACACTACAACAGAATCCGGAAGGTAATTCCATCAATATCTTCAAGTAATATAATTTAAGTAATATCTTCAAGTAATATAATTCGAGTCATATAATTCAATTAACATGTTATCAACCTACCGAATTTAACAGCAAGGTCTCTGCTAGGGTCCTCAATGATAGGGAAGGAAACCTCCTCAAGATTACCGTGAGCCTTGATATCCTCACACCAGCCTCCGTGGTCTGACACTGAGTTGCAGGATAACGCAATCATCTTTACATCTGGGGGAGGTAGATAATATAATATGGGACAATGTACACTACTACACTACTACACTACTACACTACTGACACTGAGTTGCAGGATAACGCAATCATCTTCACCTCTGGGGAATGTGAGAGGTAGATAATATAATATGGGACATACTACACTACTACACTACTACACTACTACACTACTGACACTGAGTTGCAGGATAACGCAATCATCTTTACCTCTGGGGAATGTAGATAATATAATATGGGACAATGTACACTACTACACTACTACACTACTACACTACTGACACTGAGTTGCAGGATAACGCAATCATCTTCACCTCTGGGGAATGTGAGAGGTAGATAATATAATATGGGACAATGTACACTACTACACTACTACACTACTACACTACTACACTACTACACTACTACACTACTACACTACTACACTACTACACTACTACACTACTACACTACTACACTACTACACTACTGACACTGAGTTGCAGGATAACGCAATCATCTTCACCTCTGGGGAATGTGAGAGGTAGATAATATAATATGGGACATACTACACTACTACACTACTCTGTAGATATATGGGACAATGTACATGAACATCTAATTAATGTGTTCACGCTCACTCCTTTCAGTTGTTTTGGGAAAAAGGACAATTTTCTGCTGCAAGTTTGGCAACAATGCATTAGACACAATAATGAGTAAATAAATAAGTTAAAAATACCACTAAAAAGAAGTGTTTATGACCCTACTGCAGATAATCCCTACAACTATACTACTATAGTTTCTACACTACTACACAGTGCGGTTACCATAGTAACAGTTACCATAGTTAACAAACTAACTTCTCTTAGTAAACTCTGGAACCATCTTCTGGACCATGCTGAGCTCAGTGGTGCACACAGGTGTGTAATCAGCTGGGTGAGTGAAGAAGATTCCCCATCCATCACCAAAATAATCGTGGATTTTCAGATCACCTGACATGAGGAAGTGTGATTTTACATTTTATTATTTATTTCATTAAGTCATCATAATTCGGTTTAATATTGTCAAAAGCTAACTAAATAAAGAAACAATTCGATAAATAATTTTCATCTGAAACTGAGAATTTTATCAGATAAACTTAAAAAGCTTACCCTGAGTGGTGCTGACAGACTCATTAGGGAAGATTTCACCGAGCTTCATGGTAAGTTATTGTAATGGGTCCTTGCCTAGTGCACAGTAATAGTTGGTTAGACAATTTTCATTTTGAGATAATGTAAGGAGATTTTGAAATAAGATTATGACTGAGATCAGAGTTATAGGTTATGAATCAAGATATTATTATTTTATTATTATTATATATATATTATATATATATATATATATATATTATTATTTTATTATTATATATTATTATTTCCTTCTGGTTGGTAATATACTCAATGATGGAAGTATAGTGTATTGGCTATGCCCCGCTTACTAGTTTAGCTCTTTCTAGTCCCCTGCTACACGGCATGTAAACAGGGATTGGCTAGTTAGAGGCGGTCCGTGTAGGCCTTACACTGTGCTTTCAGCAATACTCATAGGCGATAGCATGTACATAGGAATAATAATAATATGTATTATAAATACAAATAAACGCTTAATACTGTTAATATAATACACTATAAAATGTCCATAAATACAATGTGATATCTGATTTATAGAATAGAGTAACATGTAAAATAGCATAACATCAAATAAAATGTCAGTGAATAGCTTTACCAATGCATGTGACGAAATGAAAATGGTAATGAGAAGAAAAAACACCTCAAATTGTGCTCAAACTGCCCTACTTTTCAGGACATGGAAATTTGACTCCATGGGAAGCCAATTCTGCCTGTAAATTACCCTCCAACATTGAATTAGTCCCCACCAGACCTGTACAAACTTTGCTTGCCCAGAGTCGATAATCCTTAACTCGTTCCTCAGTCCACCCTTGAGGTGTTTCCTTGCTGAGGTCTCTCAGGTTGTACAATTTATCAGCGAGCTTGACCAGCTTAGCTTTCTCACTCTTATGGGGAGCATTGACTACTTGTAACCTCTTCCGCTCTGCTTTAGGTAGATTCTTGTCATCAGTCACCTCCTTCACTATACCAGCTACTTCCTCTCCAAATGCTTCCAGTATTTCTTGTGTTGATGTGTCAGTATCTTCAACTGTGTCATGTAGAACGGCTGCCATGAGTGTGGGAATATCAGTAATCCCTGCTTCCTCACACAGAATGTGCATCACACCAACAGGGTGGTTAATGTATGGAGTTTTAGCAGCATCTTTGCGCCTTTGATCAGTGTGCTTTACACATGCAAAATTTATTGCCTTGACAAGTTCTTTCATCCCAGACATTCTTGCAACCTGCACTGACATTATATCTAGTGATTAGTGATAAAAATTAAGTTAAGTAAGATGTATGACATTACATCATCACACTTCTCTAAAAAATATAAACATTACTATAGGATACAAGGATACAAGGATACAAGGATACAAGGATACAAGGATACAAGGATACAAGGATACAAGGATGCAAGGATGCAAGGATGCAAGGATACAAGGATACAAGGATACAAGGATACAAGGATACAAGGATATAAAGGTGATAATTACTTTATTGAGTACACAATAGTTGTAATTCTGAAATAATTTAAGTTACACAATTCTAATTATTTACAAATGTGTAGTGATAATTTAGAAATGTTATATAATACTATTTTTTAAATTAAAATAAATACTTCTTTAACACATAATGATGAATGTTTATTGCTCTGATGTATGCAATGAAATCACAATGGTTGTTATCAATCTATCTGAAAACGTATATAATTTGTAATGCAATACATTATAGAATAAATGCAATTAGAAATATCAATAACAGTTCCTATCTTAATAGAAAGATTAACTGAAAACTATACTAGGAAAAGCTAAGCACAGTTACAAAGTGTAACACTCTACTCACCACAGTAGAGTTCAGGGTGATCTTGCTAAAGGGGAAAGATTGGTTAGAACAATCTCCACCCTATCTAAGTCTAAAATATAAAAGTTAAAACCCCAGAGGTATGGAACTACTAACTGTGATAGATAAATCAATTCAAAAGTCTAAAACAACAACAACATCGATTCAAAAGTATAAAAGGCTTGTTAAAAAAAAACAACTTAGAAGAATAAGCTAAATATTGAATAAATTAATAATTTAACAATGTCCATTAAAATGTTATAAAATTTTGTTCATTACAATGTTAAAAGGCATTCTGAAGTATGGTGAGTTCTCAAGTCTCAAGAGCCTACTCCGTTGGGTCCAGGTCAGTTTGTAGTAAACTGCAAACCTTTAATATCTGTAGCCTAATTTCTCAATCCTCAGTCCTTACAAAGGATGCTTTCATCCTTAATCCTATACTTCTCTCTAAACAGACTGCCCAGACAAAAATATAGAGAAACACTCAAGATAGGTAGAACTTAACACATTCAGAAATACCAGTCTAGTTGTAGTATGTGCTTGGCACTGTTCTCAGGACAAAAACTTCTTCAGACATCATCTCGGCAAACTTGATACTCTCTTCATTTCCATTGGGTTCAGCTATGGGAGGAGGTTCAGGAGGGTCTTTCTCAAGTAGCCAGTCTACTTTGTCTAAATTGACCCCAGAAAAACTTCCGTCTTCTGAAATGACATTCCAGTAGTTCTTGTTCATGCTGTTGACAGTGTATCCTCTAGACTTAAGCTGAACTTTGTGCCATGTATCCGAATCAGGTTCTTGGAATACCACTGTGTCTCCTTCAATTACTGCAGTTATCAAGCCTTCATTTTTCTTCATAGGTTTCCTTGCCTTTGGAGGTTTCTTTGTTTGTTCCACTTCTTCAGTAGTTCTCTCAATAGTTGTTTCTGGAGTGTCTTTAACTTCAACTATTGTAGGCTCTGCAGTTCCACCAGGTAGGTTGTTTGTTGTTTCCTGTGGTTCTTCTTGATCTGTCGTTCTAGTAATGGTTTGGATCTCAGGTCTTACTTGAGCACTTATCTCTTCAGGATCAAGATTTGGAATGTTGAAGTCTCTTAGAGTAGAATTATGATCAGAGTTTGTTTCTTGAGCTCTGGCTTGAGATCTCTCTTTACTATTCATCTGCTTATCTGCTTCTTGTTTTGGAACCATCACGTTTTCTTCCTGGATTGGGATCGCATAGTGACCTGATTTAGTCAACTCTAGCTTGTAATCTTCTCCACGGATGGTAATGGTGTCTGTCTCGAAATTAAGTTGTACTCCCATGCACTTCATTGACTTCAAAGATAATAGAAGAGGTATGTCACTGTTAACGATGTGTACTTCAAGCCGAATTTTGTGGGTACAAATTGTGACTGGGATGATCACTTTCTTAGAAGATTCTAGGGTTCCTACTCCAAATCTAAAGATGATTTCTGCTGGGAATTCTTTAACAGTGCTTCTTGTCTCGTCATCTAGAGAATCTAGAAAGCATGAATACCAGTTTTCCCCGGCTACTGTTCTACTTGCTCCTGAGTCTAACAAAGCTTTATTGACAGTTTCTCCGGCTAGAAAAGCAGCTTCTTCTTCTTGACGGACGTTCCATTGGAAGAATATGGGTTTCACTGTAGGCATAGGTTCTTCATAGTATTCTTGGTTGTATCCGTAAAACTCTTCATTATTGGGAATCATGTCTGACAGATAATAAGGAATCTGCTGGTTGTAATAGGCTGGGTTGGGCGGTCCTTGTCTGTAGCCTGAGTGTTGGTTATTAGGCATGGTGTGTTGTTGGTAAGGCGGCCTTTGGAAGTTCATCGGCTGTCTGAAAGGAGCTCTAAGAGGGCAGTCTCTGATCCAGTGTCCTGGAGAGTAGCACCCGTAGCAAACCTGTCTGTTGTCATTCCTCTGACCAAAAGGTCTCTGTTTTCCTCTAACATTGTTTCCAGTTCTGTTCCTATTGAACATTATTTGCTCTTCTGGGAGAGTATTTGAGTCTGTTGTCTCTTTTTTACCAGCTTCTGTTGGAAGTTTTCTATTGTCTAAAGCTAGATAGCATGGCTCTGCTTTCACTTTAATAGGAAGACTGTCAGATTCTTCTACTTTGGATTTATTGAGTTGGGAATCAGCCAATCTCATGAGTGATTTCTTCATATCTTCCATTGTCATAGCTGTGCAGGTGGCTCTAGCTAACTTCTCATCTGCATTGGACAGATTGGCAGCTTTTAGTAATTTATAGGCCAGCACTAGTTCAGGAAGTGTCACTCCTTCTGTCTTCAGTTCTCGTTCTAGACTCTCGAATATCAGGATAAACTCAGTCATTCTCTGTTCTGAGTTTCTTTTTAAATTTTCAAATCTTTCATATTTTCCAAGAGTATCATCACTCTCTAGGTAAATCTCATCTAACTGGGCTATAAGTAGCTCAACACCGACTTTAGTCTCAGGTGGCTCAGCATCAGCCTTCTTGGTCTTAAGAAGTTCTTCATCTATGGTTAGAGCGATGTCTAATGCTTTGTCTTTGAGAAACATGATCAGTATCATTGCTTTGTGTTCCTCTGACACCGTTGATACAGTTGCCCATATCTTAGCAAGCTGGCGGTACCGTTTATAACCAGTCCCATCAAATGATGGTGTGTCCTTTGACATCCTCACAGTAGTTGACGTAGTTGTAGTTGATGTAGTTTGAGTTTTAGTTGACGTCGTTGTAGTTTGAGCTTGCGCTTGCTGCTACCACTGTTTATTGCTCTGATGTATGCAATGAAATCACAATGGTTGTTATCAATCTATCTGAAAACGTATATAATTTGTAATGCAATACATTATAGAATAAATGCAATTAGAAATATCAATAACAGTTCCTATCTTAATAGAAAGATTAACTGAAAACTATACTAGGAAAAGCTAAGCACAGTTACAAAGTGTAACACTCTACTCACCACAGTAGAGTTCAGGGTGATCTTGCTAAAGGGGAAAGATTGGTTAGAACAATGAAAGGAAAGATAATCGATGATCCTTTCTATTTTCAATGCAATCACTTTCTTCATTTTTAAGAATAACCTCAATGGATGGTTACCGTAATGGGTGCCACATGCCTAGCATGAAATATTTACCTACTTACTTGCACTTGTGTAGGTCTGTAGAAGCATTAGAATCGGGCTTGCCTGCCACAGGCTATCCCGAATTTAGAAGCTTGCTTTAATAAGAATAACCTCTCGATTCATACTTCCCAGAAATAACTAAAATTACAATTTTTCTTAAACTTCTCCAGCTTAATTTTCAAACTCTAAACTGTAAGTTTTTTGGATTTTTGACTTCATAAGGGAGTTTCCTCCAGTAAAAATAAATAATAAATCTTAATCTTGGTTACACTCTTCCTATATTTGTTGTTACCTAGATTGCTAGTTTATTATTGCTCGCTAGTACGTACCTATATTGCTAGCTCGCTTTTCTCCTGTTCGGGAAGCTTAAAAAAGAACGCCGCGTAACATTTGTTGCTTAAAACAAGATCAAGATTGAAGATGAAGACTAAATTTGCTCATTCCAAACATACCCGATCCACAATCATTTAAAACACAGGTTACTTCACAGAAAAAATAAACGGTGATTCTAAATTCAGAAGTGGCCGTGCAACCAATAAAAACGCTTTCTTAGTATAATAAACTAAAAAAATTAGTTTGGTGATAATATTACATATGTAATGCATTGCGCTACCAAACCTACCAAAACGCGCGCCGAGTTGGACACTTGGACTCGTCGACGGTCTAATATTTGAAAATATTTTACAACATACAAGTTTCGCCCGTTAACTGTTAATTATAGCTACAATAATTAAATTTGTAGCGCGATGCGTTACTGTGCCGCGCCGCGCACTAGCACTAAATCATGCTTCTCGCAACAACAGATCGGCAAAATGCGCTACAGTGCCGCACCGAGCTGCGATGAATTGACATTGTCAATTAAATTAACTATGTAATAAGTTATCAAATGATTTAGCTTTTAATATATGCTGCACTGTAGTTTTGAATTTAAACCAAACTTTTTACTTTTATGCGTAGCTAGTGTTGCTAACCAAAAATTGTGTTTTCTTAATTTGTAAATTTTTGAGTATAAGTTAATTTAATATTTTGTTTTATTATTATATACAACCACCTTTGTGAAATGGTCATATTGACTTTGAATATTCAAACTTACTATGTTTTGATTGTGGTTATCAAAGCTTTGCTTTATTAGAGTAATGTTGAAGTTCCATTCATGTACCGCGATGCACTACTGGGCCGCGCCGCGCATCAAATAATTCTTCTCGCAACCACGAGATCGGCGAGATGCACAGCTGGACCTCGCCGAGCTTTGAATGATTGACATCGTGAATCAAGAAATTCCAGTGTAAAGTGTATTTTCATGC